TTTAATCAGTCTATTCGCTTTTAAAGACACCACAATACAAATTCGTTTCAGTTAAGCTAATAACAGTTTATAATATTAAAATACAATTTATTTGTTTTTGTTCTTATACGGTTTACATTTTGATAATATAATAACATAAAATAATAGGTTAGTAAGTCACCAAATATACCTGCTCATGTGTGTATTTCACAATATAAGAAAATATGAGAAAATCTTAACTCATTTATTTAAATAGTTCAGTTCTTTAACCAGAACCACTGACGATGACTCATCCCTTCGCACGTAGACTCGCCCGTATTTCACCCAGGTATATTTAGAACCGCGCTCCCTGGTCAACTTTCTCATTACTGCATGAAGCGAATTAAACTCTGGCGCAAGATGTTTCACGATATACACAGTCCACTTTGTCCTGATATACCAAAATTTAAAGCGCTAAGTTGTTGAGTTTTGCTTTATTTCTTATGCGCCGACAATATGTGATCACGGAGACGTTCCGACTGAAAAGTAACGAGTTTATTTCGTGGGCTTTTAGATTGTAAATCGAACTTGGCAACTCTACGGACTGCGTTAACATCCATCTCCGCGCACGGCATCCTGATGACCGCCTAAAGTCTCTTTATCAATTCTAGTAAGTTTTCATTTTGTTTTTCGGGTAACATTTGAATTTCCAAATTTCGGCTACGAGATAACGTTTCGAGGGGAATTTATTTATTTCGCAGTATTCTCATTTCAGATTCAATTTTATTATTTTTATTCTCCATATTAATTGATTAGTTTTAGTAATTTCTAGTTCAGATTTAATATCTTTCTGCTCCGCGGTCAAAAAATCAGTAATTTCAGTAAAATTAGCTCTAAGATTATTCACTGCCTATGCGATATCTCTTCTTATAGTTTGACTAAGTTCATTCATCGTGGACGATCGGAATGTGTCAAGTTTTTACCCAAAAGTTGAGAGAACTGCTCATAGGTTATACTAGATTCCGTACCTCCGCTCACAGTAGTAGTATGCCCCGTAGATAGCTGTTTTGTTGGTGAACTCATACTTGATGAATCACCATCCAGTTGCGAGTCATCACAAGACATAGTGGTATCTAAAAATATTTCAAACCGATTACGGGGGTGCTGTCCAGCTTGCGTTTGGTTATATTGTTGCATGAATGACACTTCCAAGCCTGTTTCAATTCACTGTAATGTTTTTAAAATAAGCTGATGTCAAATTCAAGCAGGCGTTATGATAAATTCCCTTACAAGCAATATAATTTAAAAGTTCTCCCAGTGCAGTTTTATTATTACACGCTAAAGCAGATCATTATCATACTCGATGAAAGGAAAAGTGTAGGTGAAAACTGAAGAGGTTTTATGAAGCACCTGGTATATCACAATACTGATCATTCAGTAAAGATTATTCCGTAATAGTTCATAACTCACTGTTTACTAAGATACGAATAATACTCGAGAACAGCGTGCACTTTCGTTGTTCTTGAGTATTTAGCTGGGACAACGTTTCTACTTCGTAGGTTTTGTTGCTTTGTTTTCGATTTTCTGAATCAGTCGCTTCACTATGTAGGATGTATCAATATCTGTTGTTTACAAAACTTTTAAATGCAATTATCGATGAATCGATTTTTTGGAAAAAAGACAAAATTTAGTTTTCGGAGAAACGGAATAGGTCTTCTGGCATATAAAGCACTATCTTTTGATTCGTAAATTAAAATCAATTATCTATGCACGGTTCGCCCCTCCACGGAATATTTTCATTAACTGTACTACCGCTTAACTCTTCATTTGACATGTCATATTACGCAAATGCCTTTTTTATTATTTTTTTAACGTTGAGGAAATGCATTAGGCACTACGCAAATGCCTAGAGCAAGCCGCTACTTAACACATGTCATACATAACCTGAGACATTGCTTTACGTCGTAATCTCAAGTCCAACGTCGTAATGTGAAGAAAGAAGATGGTGCAACGCATTCCACAGTCAAAGTAAAAGTTAGCGTGACAGATATTGTTAGATATTTCACATATATTGTCTTTGTCTATATTTCAAATCATGGCTGATTCCTTTTTACATAAGACATTTTCATTTCATTTTAATGTGGCTCAATCGTTGGTCATCAAAATCTATTGCCCGCCTGCTATTGCCTTTTTACAGTAAAATAATAAAATGAACTTAAGAATGCAATGTCATGTACGACAAAAAAAGTGTAAGAGAAAATAAAAACAAAAGCGCGTAGACCCGATCAACACGCCTCTAAAAATTATTTTATTTATATATTTGATATTACACAATATCACATATATTGCTCAGATCCTAAATTAAGTAGCTAAAGCACTGTTATTCAACAACCTCCAAATCAGATACAATTATGGAAAAGGTTATATTCGTAAAACCGTGTACCAAGTTTTTGCTTCATGCGGTTGTATTAATTCATTGTAAATTTAAAACGAGCACATTAGAGGTCACCAATTTATCTCTTCTGCTACCGTAATTGTGATTTTAAATTTTATTTATTTCCCTCAAATATTGTACAACAGATTACAAAAGCGAACCCTTTACAATAATACCTTGGTCAAATGAAAGTCGAGAGTTGCTTCGGGCATTGTCAGTAAACTGGCCTAAAATGGTGATAATTTCCCAAAAGAGGCCTTTGATTAACGGCTTCAAAGTGTAACACAATTATTTACCTACCTAATTGAAATGAGCTTCCGTCTGGAAATATCAAGAAACGCTTTCTCCTCGACAACAACTTAGTATCCCTATTTTGATCTAAATAATTCGAACGGACGTCTTTCGTCTCTATTCCATTTAGGAACGTTTGAATTATGAGCACCATTAATAGTATTTTTTTCTTTTTTGTTTTCATTGTGTCTTCGAGTTTCGATTTTAAAATGTTTTATGCTACTGTTAACACACTTCACACCAATTTTATAGAGTCTAATTTAAAAACAAATCGAACACATAGTTACAAGCCAGGTACCACAAAACATACTGCTTAGTGAAACATCCCCACGCCCATTCTGGGTAAACAAATATTTAGAAATGAAACATCAATTAACATAGAATGTGTGAACCGATTTACAGCTATTCGATGTATGTGTACGATGTACTTAAACGTATTGCATGGAAACAAAAATGATTATATAATTCGTGTTAACGAATAAAAGACCCACGTTTTGTAATTACAATTACAAAGTACTAACTAATTTGGTAAGTTTATCACTTTCTCATATAAAATTAATACTTTAAAAGTTGTTTTAATTTTATATGAGAAAGTGATAATCAGGTAAATGAAGCTTACTTCTATATTTTATATTATATGCGTGATTCAACAATAAGAGCATGGGTGAGTACCTTTGTGAGACGATTGTTTAGATATCAAAATCACTACATAGTATAAAACAAAGTCGCTTTCTCTGTCCCTATATCCTATGTATGCTTAAATCTTTAAAACTACGCAACGGATTTTGATGCAGTTTTTTTTTCATAGGTAGGGTAATTCAAAAGGAAGGTTTTTATGTAAAATACATTACCATGCGGGCGAAGTAGCTGGCGGAAAACGAAAATAATAAATTTAATAAAAAAAAATAAGAAATTTAAATAAACTCCTTTCTGTATTTGATCAACGTTTTTATTCACAATGCTATATTGAAATTTAACTTAAAGGAAAATGGATAAAACAATTTGATTTGATAGAATTTGTTAATTTTAAAGCACTTTTCTTTAAGTTAAACTAACTTCATTTAAACTCTGGAATTGTAAAGATACATAAAAATAGTAGTTGCAACAGAAACTGCGACCCTTTTTTTGCATTCGCATCGCATCAATACGAATCATAAAATATAATAATTAATAAATGTTATTTGTAAGGGTATATTTCCAAAATACCATAAACATTTCGTGAGGATTCCATTATAACTAAAGCTCTTGTACATATTTTAAATATAAGTAATATTAGTTCTCACTTCGTATGTACACTTTTAATATTATTAACTGTACTTTTCACTAAAAACTAATTCACGTAGAATAATCTAAAATGAATTCATAAATCTATTTAAAATTCAAGAAACTTCCTTGAATTCAAGCCTTTAATATCATAACTAGCTTAATTATTAAATTTTAATTTTAAAAAATTAGTTTAAGTATTTTGGAAAAAAACACAAAAAGTCGGCTGACTGTCTAATTTCAAAATCTATCGCAATTCAAAGGTATAGCGATTTTTATAACTTTTAAACTGGCAAACGTTTTTCGAACGAATGATGATTTGAATGATCCAAAAACATAAAAAAAACTTAGATAAAGCCTGTAAAAGATTGCAGTTAATATTCAACTCTTTCGTCTGACATGTCTTAATAGCTTTAAAATATTAACGTCAAATAAACGATATAATTTATTCATTTTTTTTCAAAAACACACCAATTGCCATATATATTTTCAAATTAGACAATCATCCTCCAGACTCACTTTTAATATTTTACAGGAAAACAATCATAAAACATAAATATGTCGACAGGTATTAAGAATTCTCTTATTAATATGGTATCAATTTCGTCTCTCTTCAAAAGCACATTTATTTCATCATATCACCAACCTACATCTGGGCTAAAGCATAGGCCTTCCCTATGGATGGAATTGAATTGAATCGAATAGGGAGAATGGGCCATAACCCACCACATGGTCTGAGTACGGTTAGTGGGTTTTAACGACTGCAGGTACAGCCGAGACCAATGGCTTAATGTGCTTTCCGAAGCACGGAGGAACTCGAGATAATAAATATTTGGTCAACCATCCTATGACCGACACTTGGGAAAATCGCTAAGCTCTTTATCGCATAACGATCGCGCAAACCACTGCACCATCAAGCGCTCTCACTCGAGGTTTATTTATAAATGTAGTTATTCCAATAATCATTAAACGTAACAAATGAGAAGCAACTAGTATATAATCAATTACAAACTCAAATACGTCGTAAAAAATCTGAGAACAATATTTACGACCAAGCTAATATTAGTTCCGAATAATATTACAGTCATTTCACTTATGTATTTGTACTTTTGTTTACATTTGATTAAATTAAATATATTTTCTTTAAACAGGTTCTGAATAGGTAGTCGCACAATCGGGATATGCTTTTTCGCAGGAGATGGATGAATTCAAAGCTTCGTCATACTTCTCAGTAAAGTCATCTTTGTCGTGTCCCTTTGGAAATCTAAAAAAAATAAAATAAATAATTAAAATTATCTGTCTATATATTATTGAGTACTCTGCTTTAATCGGATTCTTATTTAAAAGTTGTTTGTAATTAAGTTTCTTTGTTTGTCACGAAGGCAACACAACCTCCAAAATTAAAATAATACAGAAAAGTTCGCTTTCAACGATAACCAAACCGGGTATCTAACCCGAGACCTTTGATGATGATAAAAACAGCATGCGAGCCTATCGGATACGAAGGTCATGAAATTTATAAAAATATATAATAGGTGCTATCATTATTAATTATATACAAATCTGTCAATCCAATATAGTTTTCTTGTTATTTAAAATACTGATGATGCCATCTATAACATTTATTCGATATTAAAATAGTATATATTATAACTCAACGGTGTTGTTGCAAACAAAGAGATTTACCAATATCCTTTAGGCGCGCCAGGCTCACCGCTAAAGCCCTTTTAACGTCACTCCGTGTTCTATATTTGAAATGATAAAAGGTATAGCCTTACGTGAATACGGCTCTTAGTATCTCTTGGAGGAAGGTTCCCTGGGGCCAATCGCGAGTCTGCCCTACAAGGCATAACGTCTTTAGCAGACATTGCCTACCATCTCCGCCGAGACTGAAATGGAAATATTATCCTTTAAAAATTGAATTATGGGTAGACACTTAAAAAGCATTTGCACGTAATTCGCCTCGGGAAATTCACACCATTTTCGTGATCTTTTTCATTCATTTAAAATCATCTGTATATTAACTTAAGATTACTTAAAAAACACTGTATCAGATACTATGACTGTATTGAACTAAAGACTCCTCGCTAGCGAAACTGAGCTATTCAGACATGTAAGTACTTGAAAAAATTGCTGTTCAACCTTTTAAGATACTAAAGGTGAACATCGACTTTATACACACGCAATAGATGCACGGTACGCCACGGATTTTTCATTGCTTTGTATGAACTTCTATAGTACTCCATTCATTATGCGTGCTGGCCACACCGACCACACGCATTATGAGAAGAGTGTGCGGTGCTTGCCAATGACGTCATACGGATTACTTTCAGAACTTCTTTTACTTCTATTTCTATTAAAAATCCGGACATAGTGGATCTATGACATCGGCAAATCAATACAATCCATTTTGTAGCGTGCGTGCGGACGTAGTGGACGTTCACCTTAAAGGTGAACTCTTATTTCTATTAACAAAATATAATAAGACAAAATATATTAATTTGGGCTTTAAAATATTATCGTCTACAATTTTCAAGACTATTATCGAATACAAAAGATAACAAGTATAATAAATACTCCTGAATAAATTGCTTGAAGATAAAGAAAAATAATAATGCGAGTCCAATATCGTGTTACAGGAATGTTCACAATTTATCATGTAATTTAACGTATGATAAAATGCTCAATGTAAAAGAAATAACACGAGCAGTTAAACGCACTTAACGGAAAATGAAAAATGGGTACGCACCCTGTGAGCATTGTCTCAATTTTCTGGTAAAGGGAGCCACGGCTGAGTCTGTGAAATTCGATGCTGCGCCTGTCCATGTGTTCGCTTTTCAAAAACTCCCGTTTGTTTTTAGAAGCGTGCATCTGCTTCCTGTATATTTCGGACGATACTCGCGTTCCTTTTTTGAAATAGGCCGACGAAAGCTCGTCCGTGCTCCGTTTCGCGAACGCTGGATTCACTATGAACTTTCTGCAATTCACCAACGGTCAGCGTTAGTTTTCATTGATGACCTAACTGACCTCTTTCAACCAAATGAAAAAAATCAAATGATGCTTTTGAAGTTATTTTGCATCGACTGTTAAGTTTGGTGGTATTTTGAATATTTACAATTATAATCACAAAAAAGTAGGAGACGGTTTGTACGGCATTCACAGATTTGGAATGTTTTTGCATTTAGCAAAACGCACTAAAAATCTATTGATCCTATTTCACACTCATAAGGGAATCAAAAGACTCAATGGAACCATTTAAAGTATAAGTAGATAGTTACTAAAAATAATAGAAATCGCCAAAAATATTTCCTATAATTTTCTACGGCAAAACTATGAGTCAATTCGAAATATTGTTTTTTAATCAACGATCCTATTTCTTACGGTGATCAAAAAACTATATATTTGAAATATATATGCATATTCAAATAGATTTATTCTTTTTAATTCTCATATTGTAGAATAATAACCTTACGTTAAGTCTCAAACAGTTGTTATTGAAGAGTTATAATAATATTTATGTGATCATAATGTATGTAAGTTTGCTATGTAATATAACGGAATTATTTATAAAAAAATATATATTTTGAGTTAATTTATCGTTTTTCCGCACATAAAATATTGGAAAAGTTTTTGGATTTTTTTTTTATTTCAAGTACTCGTAACTTATGGTATTTTTACCACCATCACGCAAACCAGTGCAACGCAAAACATTTCTGATAATTCTTTTAGCACAAATTAGACAAAATTTTAGTTTGCAATGCAATCAAGCTATTTTATCTATTTGGTTAAGAAACTAAAATGACAAGAGTGATCTGATCATACAATAGTAGGTATACGAGTAATTGTTCTTAGTTTTATATAACAATAGAAGAGCGTTAGACTGGATACACTGAAAGAATAATAATTTGAAATAAACAAAAGAAGACCTTAAAATGCTTTATAAAGTAAAACAAATGTATCTATATTGTAAAAATGATATTATTAATATACACAAATCTCTATTTATTTATTTATTATTAAAATACATAAAACACAATTATGGTTGGAATTACTGTAAATAATAATAATATACATCTAAATAAATACATAATCTACAAACTACAAATATCCACAAATATCTAATCTAATAAAACCCAAAAACCGTAAAATAAGTAAATAAAACTTCTGCGTTTAAGTTTACTATCATGCCAGGTCTGTACGTACCTAAATAAAAAACTACACATATTTTACTTTGATTAAAAGAGTAGTACAACTTGAATGCCACAATAACAGACAAGATGTTTTGCCCAAACTAAAAAATCGTATTTAAATCGGGACGTCAGCAATAATGAAACTAGAATATGCGCAATTCAGTTGTTCTTTTTATATATAAAAATAATTTGCTTTTAAATCATTCCCAATAGTAAATATTACAATCAATATAAGCCGAGAAGCAATGTCCAAACGAAATGAAACCCACCTGTGGACTAACGAAAATTACCTTTCATAAGGCCTTTTGTGAAGCACTTTTCCGTTTTCATCGGTATAATAAATGGCTTTGTTGTCAGCTCTCCTATGAAGTGGATCTGCACGGTGGTTAAAAGGAGAGTAGGGATCTTGTGGGAGCTCAAACGCCAAGGCAGACGTATAGCCCCATAAAACAATATCACCTATTGGCGAAATGTTCGGGTAGGTAAGACAAAATACTGAAAACAAATGAACGTAAACCGTTAGGTAAAGATAAAATATGCTTTTATATATTCGATTATGTATATAATCAAAGAAAAGTATGTAAAAAATTAACATTGGTAAAACTTTCAAAAGATTTTAGCAACTGAATATGAACAAATAATATAGTTAAAAGTTTTAAAAATCATGGATAGCTAATCAAAATTATTTCTATACTTTCATAATCTAAATCATTTCTATTCTTGAAGTTTAATGTTATAACTAGCATTGATACGAGTATAATAAATTGAGTTCGATTTAGAAAATGAATAGTAATGTTTGGGATAAAAACAAATAGTATGACAAGGCCAGAGTAAATATATATATTACAAGGTATAACGCATCAATACACACTGGTGAATTCAAATTACATTACAAACGCTAGTTTTATTTAAGTTATTTACCGAGAGTCTCGACTTAAAAAGTATTGATATTAGAGTGTGACTTCAAAATCTAGAATCGTATAGTATAACAGCCATATTATAAGGTATTTGTTCGTAAATATATAATTTATTATAATTGAATTTATAATTTATTATAATTAGAAAGCAAGAAATAAATTGCATATAAACTTACCAAGCTGCAGAGAACTACCTTCAGGGAATACTAAAAACCTTTTCGTTCTAGAGAGAACAATACTTCTACCACCAGTTTTGTCAACATCTTGACTACTTATCTGAATTAAGGATACTAAAAAGATAACCAGAATTTTCATGTAAACCATTTTTCAAATACTAAAGTATACGCATTTTTATGTTTACTTGCATTAAGACGGTCGATATTTTAACACGACATATGGCGGTAGCTTATCTTCTTACTGTCTGAGTAACCGTTAATCACGATCTTCAAACATCGCCAGCGAACCGTTAGCGTATTGGAAAGGCTGAGTGGTTTACCAAATAATATTGAAGCGGATATTTTGTTAGGTTGAGTAATTTTTCTTGGAATTTTTTCTTCTAACCAGAATTAAAGGAACACGTTATTCAATGTCTATTTCAAACATGAGAAATCTTGAAAACTTAACAATAACGAAATTTATAATAGTATTTTATTATTTATAAATTAAAAAACTAAATGATATCATCAATTTATGATATTCCCAAGTTTATATTTAATTTATTCTAAAGACAATACAATTTATGAACTTATAATATGCAATTTTAAAATCACAAGCAACTTTATCTTTCAATGTAATCGAAAACATGTAGTACCTCAACCCGTAACGATGTTCCAGCGGCCTATAAACCTTTCAGTACAACTTTTATTTTACCGCAGATACAGCATCTGCTTTAAATATACAAAATATTTAATAATAATGTGTGTGTTAAGCGCCTGTAAAAATCAGTGAATAATGACAATTCAAATAATGAAGTACCACTGGGTTCCAACTCGGGACGCATATTCTTTTACACATAGCTAAAGCAATGTAAATAAACTTTATTTTATGTAAGTTTTTTAATTAAAATAGGTTATGATACAATAAAAATATAATAAAATATGGGTAATGATAATTGATAAAAAATATAAAGACAAATATAACCGCCTAACTTTTCTCAATTTTACAGCCAATCTTTTACCCTGCGAGCTATCCATTTATGGAATTCCTTACCTGAGAATGTTAGACGCGTCCAAACGCTGGAGTCTTTCAAATCTCTAGCTGCGAAGTTTCTTTTTGTCAGATTAACAGAAATCTACTTGATATGTTGCCTTCTTATTATCTAAAGCATCTTATGTTTGTTTATTTTGTATGTAACTATATTATCATGTTTATATTTCTAATAATATTATTAAATTTATTTGTAACGCGCACAGCCTACCTACATTATTGTCATCATTGCTTCTTCCAGTATAGGTTGCCTGGAAGAAATAACTGTTAAGCCATAAGGCCGCCTATTGTGCAAAAGTTTTAATGTTTGTAAATTACTCTTTATTTATTTCTGTTGTGTGTTGTACAATAAAGTGTTATTATCTTATCTTATAAATAATTTTATGAAGCCGATCTGGAACTGGAAGAAGCGTTTAATAATGCATACCTATGTGTGTGTGTGTGTGTGTGTGTGGATTAAATCGGGTATCATAATAGTACTTTGATCAACTGAAATTTTATTATTACTTATATTGATTTTTTATAAAGTTTGCACTCTATGGGCTGTGACAAGTTCAAGTAATGTTATCAATCTCTTTGTAATTTTTTCCAAAGTAAAATTTTCATTAGGTACCCAAGTTGGCAAAGTTTCTATAACTATTTAGGTATTCCACGTTAAATCATATTTGGATAAAAGCGAGCGAAGTCCAAAAATACCCTTAAAAATCTTTATAAGCAGTCATATTCACTAATATGACAGCACGATGTGTACAGAACTGGGAACTAAACTACTTCTCAAGAACGACTCCCGCATAAGACTCCGACAACCAGGAAATTTGGTGATGCATTTAACGATTGCAAGGCTATGATGGAAATACTGGAACAACTAAAATACCAACAACTAAATAAAATAGTGTATGCATCAGGGTCTTTGTGCCATGATATGTATAAGTAAACACGACTAGCAAATAAATCAATATCATGGTTCTCAAAAGCCTTATTATTTATTGGAAAACAGAGCGAGATAACTCCCGTTCAATATCAGAATGAATTCATCTGGATTCTGCATCAGCAATAATATTTTCTACGGATGGAATATAAAGAGCTAAAATAAATATAATATGACTTTCATTCTATTGTCAAATTTGTTTTGCTAATTTATGTAATTATGGGAATTGTATTCCTTCCACGTGATTAATACAATAATACAAGACTGTTTTATCGATTCGTAAAATAATTTGACAATCTTCAAAACTTTTGGCAAAAATTTTTAGTCCAATGAATGCTGCCAATGATTCTACGTAATGAATATGTTGAATTGATTCATCCTCACTCCACTTATCGCAAACTGTTTTTCTAGCACATATTATTCCACACCCTGTGGGCGAGGGAGGCATCACAAAAAATTTCTTTGTCATATTTGTCAAACTTAATTTTACTAACGGAACTATCAATCGAATTTATTAAACAGTCGATATCAGATTGTAATGTAGCAGGTGTTGTCTTAAACTTATCATATTTTCTCAAATTTAAAAATTAGCGTTTTTCAAACACTTTTATACAACCAACCATATTCGATGACGGAGCAAAGTTTCCTTTTTGCAATCTCACTAGTTTTCTAAACTTAATTAATTAAGATTTGATCTTGATTTGTTTTTATAATAGCAGAAGAATTTCCATTTTCGCAGAATATATAATGAAGCCCATAAATTAAAAATATATATTTAAAAATAGCGCCTATGGACATAAAGATTTTTGAACATGAATCAAAATTATTGAATTCTGATTTAGAATAGCTGCGACATTTTGGTATAAAATATTGATAAGGTGTTAACAGAAAGGAACTTTATAACCCTTTATACATTCTGAAATAGTTTATCTCATGTCAATACAGACCACTAGTTGACATAGCAAGATAGCGTATCGGCGTAATTTACCGATTGGTCTACTGGTCGCGGAGGTCCTAGATGATTCCATATTTTTAACTCCGTTCCAGATTTATGATAAGCCGTTTTTGAATTCTCTGCCAGTTCATGACTAAAAAGTAAGCTGTCTATCTATGTCAGTTGTATTTGGCCTTTTAATTATTTTTTTCATGATGGCTATGATAAAATTATGTCTAGTAACAGAAGCATTGTATTGAGAATGACATAGTACCTATACTACCTACGTTCATTAGTAATTTCAATAATACTGAGTCTTTAGTGACTTTTAGCAAAATTGGACTGATAGCTTCTCCAAGAGATGCTATAATATTGTCTATTTGCATTTGCTTTACCTGTATCGCTTTGTCACGTTTTGTCATAATAGTTTAGTCTCTGGATTCAAAGCAGCGTCTGTCATTTTACAATTGAGTGGAGGCAAGCGAGCTGCAAGCAACTCTATACGACGTTCTGTTGTAAATCCAGAAGTGATTATGAATTTGAAACGTACAGCTAAGTCTTTCTGGATATCCTTACAGGGTCTGCTCCCGAAACAGTAGAAGTAGAATATTAATTTTCCTTATGGATACAATATTCAAATTTTTCGGGTCCATCTAACAAAATATGTCGTGTGTCCAGATGTGACTGGTTTGGCGATGGTATTGACTCAATTTCGTTATCACCGATTAGATTTTCAACATACTCTGGTTCCGTAATCATGTTTTCTATTAAAGACCCATGTAGATCGAATGAAAAAAAAAACGTATTACGAAAGCCCAACATATCGTATTAAAGTATTAACGGAGGTAGCTAATTACCCATGAAATCGCATGAAACAGATCTATGATCTTAGCTTGGTGTATAGAATACCAAGTATACATTATAATGACGGTATTATATAAACGATATCATGTCCTTAATTTTCTGTATCAGCACCCTTGCTTACACAATTCGTCCTTGTTATCAGCAAGCCTGTTCCGGTCGTTTGAATTGACAAATTTATTTTGTTTCCGACGATAGACGTCACTGTTTGTTAAACAAAATTATGCTACATCAAATAAACATAATTTATGTTTTTTTTATTTTTCTTGTGCTTGTTTTTTTTTTCTATTATATATCAATAGAAGAACAACCAAGCACAATAAATACTTTTTAAAATGGTCTGTATCTACTTTTCTTCCAGTTTTAATTTATATTATATCAAATGTTCCATCGTCTTTCTTCTTCTCTACTCTAAAAGATTAAAAAAGTGTATACTAAAATATCAAGTATATTGTAAGAAGCAGAAAGTAATAGAGATTATTGACTGATCATGTCGATTTTAAATCAAATAACAAATTAAACGAAGCTCAAAAATTAAAAAGTTTAAAAAATCTTTCAAACAAAAATTTTATCATCCTGTATGTAGGGTATCGTTAGACATTGAATCTCCAAATTTAAAGTAGAGCAGGTCAAACTACGTTGTCTCATAATTAAGAGGCCAAACAAAGCCTACATTCTCTGAAATAACAGTTGTAACTCTATTCGTTACAGTATTTTTATAGAATCATACCCGTAGACAACGCTTAATCATAAGAGTGAAGTTTTTTCTGGAACTCATTAATAGATAATTTATTTGAACTATGGTTATAAATATAAAATAAATGGAGGTTAAATAATAATGTAAGAATTTTTTACTGATATTTAATTTGTGTATATTTCTAACATAGTAATCGACTTCTCTGGATGAGAATACAGTATCGTATTACATACTATAGCATATATTTCTTATATTACATACTATGTTGTAGTTATAGATATAATATAATATATTAACATTATTTACTTTAATTATTTATTTACGGACTTTAATGATTTTTCAATTTTTAGATTAATTATTATAATAAGATTGTGAAATTCCATTAACGCCCTCTAGTCTCTGTTTTCCGCTCTGGTATCCTTTAATGAAGGGTCAATTTAAATGTATTCTAATTTTAAAAAATCCATTGTCACTAAATATCTTTAATAAAATTAACTTTTTCAGATCTGTTTATATAAGAATGAATGCAAGACATCAAATTCATCGTTTTGGTTAGTAAAAGTCCCAAAAAGGAAACATTATATATAAAAAGAAGACATGCATAGATTACGTCAGTTGATTTTGCTATGCTATGTTTGCTTCATAGTTTTTATTATTATTGATATGGGTAATGCGGATGTGACGTCACGTACAAGACAAAAAAGATACCTCATTTTTAGAAACACCTCAAAGTTTTTTGTAAGTATTATTATTAAATTTTAACTTTCTTAATGTTTATCAATCTAATAAGATTCAGTATCGGGATGCAGGAGTTCCTTGTAAATAAAATGATATAAGACTTAGAATTAATAACTTAGGGTTGATATTTTAATAAGTAGATTGGACGGTTGAACGCGTTGACTCCAACGTTGAATTTAGACTCGTAACTAACTAGTTACCGAGGAATAGACTAAAAAACTGACATAAAAATAGTGTCGTCAATCACTTAGTTTTCTATTTTGTTTTCCTCATTGCTAAGGATCGTGATTCACTCGGTGGGAAGACATTTTTTCCCTTACGATATCTATCCATCTGCTCCTGTCCTTAGAAATATGGAGAGCGTCATGGAGTTTTATGAGTGTTGCTCGAACCTGATCAGACCATCTCGTTGGGCAACGACCCCTCGGGCTTTTCCCATTCTTTTTGCCGGTAAAAATCAGTTGGTCGAGATCGGGTCCGTTTTTGCGAGCAATGTAACCATATAAAACCATATTTTTTGCAAACATGTGGCAAGCCTTTCTTTGATTTACTCAGTATAGTCCTCAGTACCCCTTACAAACACTCCAACCGATTAATGTTCTTTCGAAGCACTCATAAAGAAGCTCAACATAATAAAATTTTGTTCATCCAGCCAAAGATTGATTTTTGCAATCTTGTTTATCCTCTGCAATCACAAACCTTCTGTGCTAGCTCTCCTATCCTCATAAAATAAGCTTAATTTTCATTTCATCATTCATTTTAGTTAAATCGTAACTAACGCATAGGGAGACGCGTAAATTTACCGTGTATCGTTTGTAAAATGTTGGATTATGACAAAAAACTATCATTGATACCTGTAATATCCTCGTAACTTTTAAAATGGTCAAAACTGGGTCCAATTCCATTAGCCAGTACTGGTTATCTGCCCTACTTTGTATTTGCAAGATTATATTATATCTTTAAAACAATAATTAAACCATCTATTTGGTTTCTATTTCAAGTGGAGATTAAACTTCAAGGCCAACATGGTACCATGGAACCAGATCTTCGCTCAAGCTCTAGGATTCCGTATGAATTGGGATGAACCTCCAGAAACATTTCGGCCTTACCATAGACTTCACAGGAGGACTGTGTACAGTAACTTAGAGCTATTATTAGACAAGTAAGTTTTTAGAGTAACTTTGCAAGTTACATAGCGGGGCTGGACTCAGCGGGCTCCTTGCTGAATCCCAGGTCCTTTTCCTATAGGAGGGTGCTCGCAGCGGGTATTACCAGGTAGGCCAGCTACGCATTAAGCCAGTCGTATTAAAGCTTGAAAAGCCTTAGTTCTTAAGGTGCATTTCCCCTACATTTTCAAAAAAAGGTACGCACCAACAAGAAGCGTTGCAAAATCTGATAAATACTACAGGAATCCGCTGTTTTGCTTTTCTCTGCAATCAGCGTCATACGGCCAATGATGATGATGTGAGAGATGCAAAATCATCAGCATTATACTGACATAAATCTGTATTAAATTAAATATCATTAATGTTTGCTAATACCCTTAACATTTGATAGAAATATGCACTTGGCTAATTTCCATTGCCCGGAAACAGTATCAGAAACAATTGTATGTCGATTTTATACTAAATGTAAAAAAAGATACAGTTTAAAATCATTGTTCCAATTTTATCTCGCTGAAATTTTTCGCTATAATACTGGGAATCTAGTGGTAAAACACTTGATTGCTTTTAGGAACGGTTTGAATGGATATCACTGCGTACGTCGAGCTATTTGCGAAATGGTGCCAGTGACAACGCCGAAAGGGATATATTTCAAAATTTTAAAAATAGTATTCAGGTAGGTATGCCATTTATTAACAAATAGCTTTCTGCCAGCGGTTCTGATAAATTACTTAAGTAGATATTCAAGAAGTTTTCAAATAAAGAAATCATCATTTATTATAAAAATATTTTATTTGTGAAGTAAATCCTGAGGATTAAGATAAAAAATATATTTTTTTATTTATAAAAATCATATTTAATCCTACGATAAAGAACTGCAAGTCAATTTATAAATTTACAATAGTAACACTTTTTTTATTCGTCTTTTTTAAAGAATGTAAAAGGTAAAGTGGTAACAAGTGATGAATAAGGGAAATGTATGTAATTTTATGAAATTCATCCTTAGTATTATTAGAAATAAGATTATTTATAAACCAAATGCCATTATATCTCTTGTTTATTATTCCAGAAGACAGTCTTCAGATACTGAGAGATGGCACAAAAATATAACCGAAGAGGATTGTGCAACATCCATCAACTCTTGTCCATTCTCTTTTCTAGAAGTTTCCACCTACACCGACATCTGATGTAATATGAATAAATGCAAAATTAATTAGGTTACATCGAAGCCATATTTCATCAAATAAAAATGAAAATTGTACTAAACTGTAATCGTGTAAAAAGGAAGGAGCATTTAATAAATCTAATTCAAACACATATGATACTCTGAAACTGAGTGCAAAAATGTATATAATTTCTAGAATAAATATTATTAATATTGTGATTCAAATATTAGGCGATTGCCTAACTATTGACTATTTTCTTCATTAACACAATAGCATTAAAATTGAAGCCGGGTTGTCAAAGACGGCAATATCATAAAGTTTGATATACTTCTGGCAGAGTAAAAAAAGAACTATTTAGATAAATAGAACTTCTTATTTACTCAGGTACATCCCGATTGACCAATGTAAATGACACACATATTTGCAATAACATATTTGCTGTAAAAAAGCAGCCTTGAACTAATAGCGCAGCCCATGATCACATCAAGTTTTATTTGATTCAACCTTTATGACGTGGCAGCGCCATAATCGACAAAAAGTTTGCAATTATTTTATAAAATAATAAAGTTTTATATTACTTATTTAATAATCTACTGATTAGGTCTTAATACATAAACGAATGTGACCATTCACATTGTAAATTAGGAAACATACAGCTAATTACTAAGACTAATAAAATGAATCACTCTAGTTACAACTACGTGTCCATTTCTTAAGCAGCTTATTCGTTAATAAATATTTTATGATCCATACCAACATTATTAATAACCTCCTATTAATCATTTTATTAGTATCATACGGTGACAAGCCAATTACTTCCAAGACGACATTACCTACTTAGTTATTAAGTACTCTTGATTGATAACAACAGGGACGAAATGAGTACGCAACTTTTATATTATGTTCCTGATAAAATTAATATAGTTAGATTTTAAATTTTACTAGCAACGTTCAAGGCTTACAATAAAATGTAGAAATTGAAATTTTTCTCAAGCCTTTACTCCGGATGGAATCAACTACGAAAAACCATGACCCAGCATGCTGGCTGAGCGTGGGTTGGTGGTTGTTGACGACTACTTTGACAACGCAGATGCAACCAGTATCAAAGGCAATATACGTAGGTAACTATTGTATTTATATATGAAGCACTATGTCAAAGAACTATTGACTTATACTATTTTTAAAATAATTACTATTTTAAGGATTCGCAAAGAATATTAACGTTTAGAATATTGACATACAGATGAACAGCAGAGTTTTAGTAATAGAGTTATTACTAAGACTCCACTGTACAACTGTCTGTCATCAAGCTGTACCTGCTAGCTAGAAAATGTTTAAGAGGATATATTTCTGATGCCGTTATCACAGCAGATAAGACAAAAAAAATCTGAAATTTCAATCAACAAAGGTGATTTATTTTTCTGGTTTTTAAAGATAATGGTACAGAAAGTCCGAATAGCACTAAGACGGCTTTTCCATCTCCGTTGTCATCTGGTTAAAAAACAAGACAAATAAACATGGATCTGATTTATCGTAAAGAAAAAGTTAAATATGAAATATACATAAAGGTTTAATGACGATTTTAAGCTCTTACGAATGTTCTAAATTTAAAAGCTTGTTTGGTTAATCATACTTCACTCACTTATACTAATGACAATTGTCATCAGAACTAAAAATGTGACCGAAAAATTTGATTTATCGATTAAAAGGGAAGGGAAGTCCACTTAACTTGATGTTAACTATTGTACTTAATATCGATTAACTACGTTCGATCTAAGAAAATATCCTCCCGATTAGTTATAAAAGATTGAAAACTTGCGTATTATAAAACCTTAACTTACTTTCACGTTGAATCCCAACAGGGGAGAAAAGTTGGCGAAGTGCTGTTGTTGAAAATTCAACAACAAGATACTTTTAGCAAGTGTCGAAGTTACTATAAAGGTGCATTATATTTTTAGTGACATCAAATAGTTTTGCAAACACAACATACGAAATTGATATCGGCGGTTTTAAAGCTTATCGACCCAAGGAACATATATATATATTAGTCGTATATACATATATATATATATATGAAATCAGCAAACTTTTCTATAGCGATTCATAGATGCATATCATTTTTTGGCAGCTAATATAAATGTCAAATGTTATATCGATTTGAATGTCATCGCAAACGCTACAAATTTGAAAACACAATGACCATCCTTATCGTTTTTATTATTTTCAACTCTGTTGAGCCATTATGTCTTTTTACATTCGCGAGGCAATCGGGGAATACATGCCCTTAAAATTATGAAGATGTTCTATCTGATACAATGAGCTAGAAGTCACCAATTAATAAAAAAATTGTTACACCAGTTTCATGTTACAGTATTTGCCCTATTTCAAATTCACTTTTTTATACTATATATAAACTAAACAGTTAATTGATAAAATAGCTAAAACGGTAACGAAGATAAAAGCTATTAGCTAAAGTATTGCCATTGAAGAAATAAGGAATCGCCTTTCTAAATAAGAATTATGTCTGAATAATAATGTAATTTAATTTACATGTTATGGCACTGGGTCTCCTGAACCTACATATGTAGATGACATCAACATGAACACAGATATATTAGATCTTTACCTATGAAAGTAATTTTTTTTTTCAATATATTTATTTCTATTAATCACCCCTGCAATCAATGCATCACTGCCAAAGCATTGTTAGCTTATTGATGGGGCTTCTTGAAAAAATCAATTGGACCATCATAAAAAAATATTTTGATTTAAAATGACCAGTATGGCAGATTGGCAATTGCATAGGTTATTTATTTTGATACAGACAATGCGTACAATAATTAAAAGCAATCATTCTCCTTTGTTATTTTTTACCAAAATAGTGACGTATAACCAAAACTCACTGATAAATTGTTCTATACATCAGTAACAAGTAAATCGCCAAATTGATTGTCCATTGAACCTACGTTGTGTCACCATCGATTGGCAAAATCGCTTTATAGAAATCAATGAATAGCCGTCGATCGAGCACAATGGTAATATTTCGACTCACGGAGGGCAATATTTGTTAACAATACCCCCCTCGTTTTGGGTAAATATCGACTTAGTAGAAAGACTCTTTTGTATTTCGTTCGAGAGTTCGAAATTCAACTAGAATTATAAAACTGGCTTTGAATTTCGAACTTACTTTTGACCTAAAAAGAGTAATGTTTAAGAGGTGTTCAGAATATAATTTATTTTTACAACCACTTCATATAAGTGGAGACCGTGGGTCGACAAACATAATTTAACACGTCTTCAGAATACTAACCAGATAGGAAGATGATCTTCAGAAGATAGCTGAAAACGACAAGATGAGAGTGTCCAAATATCGAGTTCGATGTTGTTCGTGCGTTTGAAGAGGCTAATGTCCAGCAGTGGATCAACATAAACGGAAGAAGTTACCTCATAATTTTTATGATTATTTATTACTGTTGCCGTGTGGTTCCATTAAAATTTGGTCCAGATATGGTAATGGCATCTATGAGAAAACAATATAAGTCTTAAATTTGCATAAGGTATGCGTGATGTTTGTTACTTCAATTTCCAACATAGTATTTGTCAGACTTAGAAGAAGCTTCATGGTTATGACGTGGTTCTCAGAAAAGTATTTTATTGTTATCTATTATATAAAAATAACAGTATTACTAAAAATCATGAAACAAAAAAAAACTTAAATAAAATAGAAGCGACTTCAAACTTAAAATAGCGAAAAATATTGCTTATCTCAAAAGCTATAAAATAATTAATAATCTAAAGCTATAAAAAGCTAAAAATTAATTAATAATCTACAGAAAACTGTTGTAAAACTAGATAAATAATATCAAGCTAAAAATGATTAGTTCTTGTTTGAACATCGTTGGTGAAAATCGAAATAAAGTTCGTGTTATATCAAGTTTCCGTAACCAAAGCAAAACTAATTCAAATATTTGAGATAGGGATAGGGATTGCTTAATGAGCGGATCAACTCCTTTACTGTGCATGCATTCTAAGCGCGTCGTTCACTGTTGAGCACTTCCGAAGCAATAGTGACTGCATTCTAAGTCAATGTAAATATTCTATCGGCATTTACACGCGACGTTGGTAAGTCGGAATGCTATCGGAATGTCGTCCTCTGTAATAATATTATAAATGCGAAAATATCTGTTGTCTGTCACGCTTTTCCAGACACTGTACTGCACATAAATTGTCAAAAGTTTGTTTTCTTAATTTAAATATTTTCATATAATTATTTGTGTTTAAGTACAATATAAATCTTAGAAAAGTCTTGTATTTAATGTCATTCTTAATTAACACATTTCAAGTTCTTCCAAATAAGAGTACATTAACTTAATACTTCGTTCGTAATCGAAGTGCTGGGCAGTGAAATAGTAATTTCCATTATGATTTGCGGTAATTCTAAAACGAAATGACTTGTATCCGTATTCTTATTGAACTTCCGATATTCTTTCGCTTTTTATCGCCATGGTCACAAAATAACTGAAGTCCTGCGGGATATTATAATAATATTGATCTGCCCCTCTTTCAAGTCACCTTAAAAACTGATAAAAAGATTTTACTATGTCATATATTTAAAATCAAAATGACGTTTGTCATTCTTTGTTATCATTTTGTAAAATCATTAGAAGTTTGACAAAAATTACCCGGAAGTGTATTGGCGTGAAATGTCAAAGTCAAAGTGACAGTGAGAGTTAACTGACAGATGAGGATGCCAATAATGAGGATACCTATGCCAGTAGGTACATATTTTAAGATACATGTTAGCAATATCTGATATAACTGTTTCTTATGCTTACAAATTTATTATGAAAGGAAGACTTTAATAAAGGATTTAATTCAAAATAAAAAAAGTCAAAATATTTCAATTTGACATTTTCTCTTTTGTTATTATTAATTTGCTTTAGGTTGTCAATAGTTTAAGCCTAAAACTAAATTTAGTCCTCATATTATAATAAGACGGTGAGAGTTTAAAACAACATAATACTGATCGTATTTTACATTTCTAATACACTTTTAAAAACTAAATGTAAAAGTATATCATACGGTTGATACTTGATTATTTCTTTCCACTTCTAGTGAAGCTTTAAAATCTTGCACAGTGGTACTAACATCTGTCGTCGTGAGTTATAAACTCAGCCTGAGGGAAAGATCGTTGGAACGTGACGGGCACCTATATGAGATTTACTTAATTTGTCGCCGACGTGCGGCCGGCCGCACAAACACGCCGCTATTGTGGGGGACACTTCGGTCGCCTTTCATCGTCACTGAGAGCTTTATTTATGTTTTCCTCATTTACTTTATTACATTGGCTTTCCTTGTAAAATCAACACAAACTAACTTAGCTACTATGTTGAGTGATTTTCTCGGATTTGCTTATGGATTTCTCTTTTGGCTAGTCTGATCACCTACTAGAGAAATATAGGTAAGGTCATAAATATAAGGTAGCAAAAAGGGTATTACCGATCGTAGAATCATATTAAATAGTATCTAAAAGAAGAAAATATTTTTTATTTATTCATCTCTTAATATAGATATAAGCTCCATGATCCCTTGACCTTCTGGACAACCGTTATAGACGTAGGCACAGTTGAACATCTGCCTGCCAGCAGTTGCTGCATCTGTATAAGGAGCCATGTTCTCTTCCCAGTCCGGATCTTTTTCATCAAACGGCGATCTCCCGTAGTCTGGTCTGTTAATAAACAATAAGATATTACATGAATGTGTACATAAAATGTATTACGGTAAATCTTTGCTGCCGGGCTACAGTTATTACAAACGAAAACCGTTTTAATAGTAAAACTGGGTCTCTAACGTCTTTGCCAGGGATTTTTACATAGTAGTGGACAAGCGCCGTGGCCTGCGATCGTTCTTGTTAAGTAAGTTTCACAAGGGTTGGGCACGGGATGGGTGACGAAAAAAATGTTAACTCAAGCTACTCCGTGATTTGGAAGGCACGTTAAGCCGTTTGTCCCGATCGCATTTGCAGTCGTTTAAATCCTCCAGTCCGCATTCGCCCAGCGTAGAGGGTCATAATTTCAGAGAAAAATGGAGGTTAATTCTTTCTTTAATTGAAATACATGGAGGCTTACACTTACAGTGATTTCAATTAAGGTTACATTATGCTGTACTACAATATACGACTCAAAAGGAACTATGTCATTACCAACGCGCTATTCTTAATACTTAAAATTGATTACATACATTCATGTTTCTTAATTAATTAAATCAAAGGAACGCTTTTCTGAATATATAATAATATATAATATAGCGCTATTTTAGATCAATGTCAATAAATCAAACAGTGATAAAATAATAAATTTTATCTTAACTACAACAAAGAAATAAACTACACTTTATAATGTCAACATATTAGGACAAATATGTTGACATTATAAAGTGTAGTTTATAATTAGGAATGTAGTGTAGTGTAGTAGTATGTAGTGAATAATTAGGCTTTGGCCATTGCCCCCATTTTGGCCTTTTGGCACAACTTTAAAAATTTTGCATTATGGCAAAGTTCAAAGTTTACTTCCTCGTAACTATTAGAGTGGACAAAACCAGATCTTATTCTTCACTGCCATCTGCTCTATATTATTACATAAAACATAAAATTAACACCTTTATATAAAATTGCGCCAATAAAGAAGTATGAAATATACAACAATATTTTTTTATAAAAAAAATCATTAAATTAATTTCAACACACTATCCTTGACACTTGATTATTGAAAGTCAAACAAAGAGGAAAAAATTTGATTGTTTGCATTAATTGGACTCCGAAATTATAGGATAGATTTTTTTTTTCTATCATTTACGGGTAAGTCGTAAGAAAATAGCTAGTAACGTGTAAGTCTTTGAATAAAAGAACCTTAATAATATTTAAACTTTCTTTTCGAATTTCTGCAGTTGGACAACCTTGAATATAAATTAATAATCCAATGAATGCCCGTATGAAAGCTTTATGTTACACCATAACATTGCTACGTATACCAATAAGCATTACATCCAATTATACATTATTATGTAACAAAAGGTAAACGACTCAATGCTGCTAGCCGTAGGGTAAACGGCGCTGTTTCACCCCCACCCTTCACATTTCGCAATATCATTACAAGCTTTTATTAATATCTTGCAGTGTATGTATGTTTGCAAAATCTTACAATTCAATTCGTTATTCTCAACCAATCACGCAGAATTTTTTAGAGAATATAAGCAATTGTTTAGATAAAAATCTTATCTTAATACTTACTTTAGCAAAATATGAATGATTTCTCCTACTAACCCTTCTTCTTCGACAGTGTTTTGCGCTACCTCACATATAGCTCTCAAGACACATTCGAAACCATTAAATCCTTTTCTGAAATAGAAAACAGATTTTTATTCTAAGTGAGACTTTTATGAAGGAACCTATTTCGGTATGACCATCACATTAACACGCTCCTCCTACTGAGCTTGACTACACTGACCGCCAAGAAGACATCGTTAAGCAAAATTTAGACCACAGTGGTCAGGTCTCTCTCTGAAATCTCGGGTTTACTTTTCAGTTGACTCAATGGAGAGAATATTCTTTTCTCCATTGTCTTGGATAAGAATGATTTGAATATTACAATGTATGTGATATTGTTTAATATATATTAATTATGATTTATCTTTGATACTTGTTATAAAATTGTCGGCAAAGAACTCGTGTCGTCAATGTTTGTGGTCAATGTGAATACTCAACAGTATAATAGTTGCTTTATTTCATTAACGCGGTATTCGATTGTTAACTAACTAAAAATTTCCAGTTACAGACGTAAATACAGTAAATAATAATATCACTTTAATAAACATGTGGTATTGTAAATAAACAAAGATATGGCTGTATCAATCCATACGATAACTACGAATAAATTTGAATACTGTGTAATTCAATATATTTCCCATTTTACAATGGATAAAAATAGAATATGGAAGTGAAAATTTAGCTCGTGATTTGACGAAAATCGTGTTATTTCTAATGGTTGTATTAGTTTTTAATACAATTGGTACAAATTGAATTAGGTACGAAAACTCACGCATTTAGCATATCGGCAACTGATTTGTAAAAGATAAGTCGCTCATCCTTCCTCTGAAGAAGATCGGCTTCCCTCTGCTCTCGGCTGACCGTCTTAATTGCGTAGTATCTTGACAGTTCTGTGATATTTTGGAATTGGAGATACTGATATTGGAAGTTTGCAGCAAAGGCAAGGTTGATGTGATCGTTATTTGGCACAGGTGCGGTGAAGCCGATTAAAAGCTGGAAAGTACAACATTATTATCAGTATTTATATAAGGTCAGTTCGACAAGAAATACTGGGAGGGAAAATCTAAATGTGCCACGACAAAATTTTGAAAGCGTTACAGAAAGTTCAGCGATGCTATTCTGTAATAAAAAATCTCAGCATGTAGCTTCAATGAAATGAAATCTTTGTTAGCTATTAAATTGAGTTTTATTTTGATTGTACCTCTACGTTATGACCGTGCTGCATGTTATTATCTGCTTTTTTATTACAGCATAGCATTACAGAGACTGCAGTCTCAGTCGTGAACTAGCGATCGCAGAGTTCGCTGACCGATCTATCAAACTTGATCGCTAGGAAACTAACGACTTCACTAATTTGACAGTTGTACTCGGCGCGTGCCTAACAAATAACAATATATTTTTAATGAAAATTCACCAGCCTCAAGTAACCCGAGGTGGGTCTAGAAACCCACGACCTTTTGCAATCCGGACCACTGCTCTAAGTAATAAGCTATGTGAGACCCAAGAGAACTGACGAATTTCTCAAGCACTTGTTACTTTTTCATTACTAGTGAACGTATTTTCATTAATATTCAGGCAATCTACCTAAACAGTCAAAAGAAATATTTTTACATATATTGGATTGAGAAGACAATTTTTGTTCTAATCATTAATTTTTTTGATTTTGCGTTCGCAATGCTATACTGATACGTATTTTGTTTGAAAAATGCTTAGGTTTGGGATAGCTCAGTGATTAGAGCTGTCGCCCGGATTAGGAAAGGTCATGGGTTGGAGGTCCATCCCATAGTGCTAGGGACAAAGTGCTTTTTTAAGTATTTTTTATTAAGAATATATTACAGTAAAGTATTTTGAATGCAAAATTTATCAAATATAATAAATAACATTGCATTGATTGTTAAATTACGATCACTATGAGTAAGCTACTGAATTCAATAGGATTGCGATTGCAAACTCTATCTGGACAGACTATAAATTCTTACCTTATATGTTGAGCCGTAAGGAAAAACTAAGACAACCGGAGGGTTTATCTGCCGTTTCGTTCGTATCTCTTCGTCGTATTTACTTTGTAGTAATTTAAGCGACTCGGGTGATGACGTTCTCGAAGACGAAGTTAACTTCAAAATTACACACAGCATAATTAATTGTGACCTAAAATATAAGAAGAATCGGTTTATAGGGCCTATTAAGCTCAAACAGGCGTAGCTTTTTCCTGTTTAGTTAAATTTAGGAAATTTTTAAAATAAGTTCATGGCAAACTAAAAAACTTTTTAAACGGTGAATATTTTTAGCTTATTTCTTCTTATTTTTTTTTAATTTCTGTTATCTAGTGACTTCACACGCGTAAATTACAGTCTATGTCAATCGGGTATGAAGTAAAATCTGTGACTTTGAGACCGTAACTTTTGGAAAATATTCGATGCAAACAAACAATCAAAATTTTTCATCTTTATAATATCAGTATTCATATATTTTCATTTATAATGGGCTCGCTCATGATCTTGTTCTAAATCCAGCCCAGGATATGATAGAGGACTTAGGAGCCACTGTTTCTCCTTCTACTATTCGCTACTGCCTTAAATAAAACTCGAAAATATAGACAATAATAAATAAATGATAATAAATATAAGACAGCACATACATTGCTCATATTCCAAGATGAGTAGGTAAAGCCATACGGGGCTTTCACTACTGGAATATGGAGTATCTGAGACAACGAAGGTGGAAGAAGACCACCAGTGCTTGGAAACCGGTTTTTTTTTTTACATAAAAGGTTACACTCCTTTGAACTGTAAAATCGTAAGAACATTGCCCTTTACTAATCCAGCGAGTTAACCGGTCAGAACCGGTCTCGGATCAGAATCCGAAAGGGAACATTACAAGAGAACAGGTTTTGCCTAAATTAAAACGTTTTATTCTAAACCGGTTTCAACCGGAGTACAAACCACTCGGCTACGGAGGTCGAATAAACTAACCTTTGAAAAATTATTTATATTTTAATTGTGTAAATTTTAAATAAAACAACACAAATCATTATAATATATTAGATGATTTAAAAAATAACATAAACATGCAAGTATAAAAAACAATCGTATGAATATATATAACATATATAAAAGAGCACATACTCAGTTTTTAAATATTTAGAAAATAATCAAAAACTTCTGCATGTTTTTAAATTGTTTGCCCACTACATCGGTAAAACCATAAGTGGGATTTTCTATACTTGGCATGCTTCGGTGTTGGTAGGTGACGAAACGCTCTAGTTACTATCCTACTATTCAATTCTTTAATCAAATAGTCAGTTAATAAAATATTTTTAAGTAAAAGGACAGGCATTCAATTGATCCAAAGCAGTGGGCATTGTAGCTATTTGTCGTCGTCTTGATATCTTCATATCAAATCGTATTGCACAATATAAAGGAAATGGCTATTCAATATCAAAAACAGAAAATGACTCTGTTTACATGCATAAGTAAGTACTATAAAGAAGCAACAAATTAAAAAGATTACATAAATTCTTACCACATTTTATCTTCTTTTACTTATAATATCACACACACGTGACCTTTTAAGAAGACATAACACAATTAGAGCCAAATATGAACATTTCATTTATTATTTAAATCAAAATTCTAAGTGGGTGGCTAGATTACAGTATCTAGCCACCCACATAATATAAGCAATATTTTTATAAAAGTAATCAATCTTCAAATTAGCTTAGTCTTCATATTTTTACCTACATATATAATATATCTATACGAAATCTATTCTGTTAAAACAGCCCCAAATTCGCCGTCGAGCGTAACGCTCTTACGTCATAGAGCATAAATAAAATGAAACCTTTATTGAACAGCTTTGCGTTTGACGAATCCGAGGTGGTTTTTTATAACTTAATAGCATTGCTATTTGACACACTGATCCCTTTTTATGTAGAAAGAGATAGAACTTGTATATTTATTTATATAACTCGCTAGTATGTAGTACTGATAATATTTTTAGAACTCGGAAAACTTTGACGAAACTCCTTATTTATAATATCACACAACTGCAGCATGTATATCACTATAAACGGTCATTGTTATCAATTTTAAACTTTAACAACTACATATTTAAGCTTAAAGTTGGTTGGAGAAGTTACGTCTTTTGCAATAGCTAAATGTCTATTGACTGCACTTACTATTGCTTAGAATTTTGATTTAAAAATTAACTATAAAATAAATACATTTTTTGACATTGGCACTAATATTATATGTTATTATAATACGCCTCTTAACAAGTGCTTACTAAGTTTTGAATGAGTAATACAGTTCACGAGTGACCAACGTAACTGCTCAATATAATATGTTGATTCTACAGTACAGACATCAACCATAGACTTAAAAATTAATTCTAAGGTCGGTGCAAATCTAACGGAGGAAAGAGTTTCATAGAAGCATGGCGGATTTTAAGTGGGCAATAAAAATCCCTTATAGGCTTAGAATATTTTCAGATGAATGGTAGAGTATAAAAGAAATAAGTAGGCATATCAATGACTAACTAGTATATTTGGCCAAAGTTTTTCTCGGGGAAACGCAACATTTTTCCGTGAAAAAGCTTTATCTTCTAGGTATAAACTACCAAATGTCAAGTTTAACTTTAATCAGTACAGTAATTTAACTATTGACTCGTAACAATAACACAAATAACCATTTTTTTTTCCTTCATAATATTAGTTTAAATGTGAGTCTACTAATATTATAAAGGGAATCCTGAAGCAGGACACGACACAAATGGTGCCTATACCTACACTTATATTATGAAGAAGTAAAGTTTCTAACTTTGTTTGTTTGTTTGAAGTATTTCCGAAGATTAAGGGGTAATCTTCGGAAATACTTATTCGATTATGAAATTTCACCTACGGGATGCAAGTAAATTAATTCCAGTTGCAGTAGAAACTAATTGATTCTCAAAATAGGTATTTATCACACAGCTTCAAAAATCTGAATTTATTACTATTACATCAAAAAAAACTATATATAAATAATAACTAAATTTAAACCAACCAATCAAAAAGAAAAAAATATTGAAAAAATACGTTTTATAATATTTATTGAAAGAATAGTCTTTTTGTCAAGTATTATGGTCATGGTTTTATATTGTAAATGTGTAATTACTTCACAATTGCTCCTCGGAAAGGTCATTATAAATATTCAGACTCTTAATTTTAATACTTTTTTCAAAACAGAACCACAGATGACAGTAATCCGACATGAAGTATAAATACTAATTTGGTATATTTAAATTCTATATTTAATTATTTTGTAAATTGCAAGATTATTACACGAAAATTTGCGATTAGCCTGACTTATTTTAAAATATATTCAAATTTCAAAATAGAAAGTAGATCAAGAGTATGCTAAATTTGGTTACTTTCCCTTATTAGAAGAATTAAATATCAGATTTATATGTCAACTATGTTACAATATCAAAAAATAATCTCACCAAATACGAGGGTCAAACTGAAAGTTCTTAGAACTGGCCACTTATAAACAATATAATAAAAAAATAATTCTAAAATTTGAAAATATAACTCTTTGCCAATATTACTGAGTATATATTTCATTCATTTGTCATTTGTTTTACGATTTGGCGGCAAATTGAAAATTGTCTGTGTCACGTCATCATGAATTTAACACGAGAAAATTTTCGTGCAATGATTTTTTATGACTTTCGATGTCATTTAAGTCAACAAGAAAGTTATGATAGACTACGATTGGCCTTTCACGATGAAGCCCCACCTCGTGCGACTGTTTACAACTGGTTTAATGAGTTTAAACGTGGTCGCACTAATCTCACTGATGATTTACGTGAGGGACGGCCTTCTACGGCGACGACTGAAGATAACATCTGTGTTGTGCGGCGTATGATAGAGACTGACAAAAGAGTGACCTATCAACAGATTCGGACAAGCTTAGGCATCGGTATGAGTCAAGTGCACAAAATCCTCCACGAACATTTAGCGGTCAGGAAGCTTTGCGCCCGGTGGATACCTCATAATTTGACTGAGGCTCAAAAACTCCATCGTGTGGATTGGTGTCGTAAAATGATTGAAAGATTTAACGGAGGTGACTCAAATGCTGTGTTCGACATACTAACAGGTGACGAAAGCTGGATTTACTGTTATGATCCTAAAACCAAAAGACAATCTGCTCAGTGGGTGTTTCCTTTCGAGGAGTTGCCAACTAAAGTGAAGAGAGATCGAAGTGCGGGAAAAAAAATGGTGGCCTCGTTCTTTGGAAGGATAGGTCATTTTGCAACAATTGTGTTAGAGGATCAAAAAACAGTTTCTGCAGAATGGTACACTACCAATTGTTTGCCACTTGTCTTGGAAAAAGTTCGAGAGAAACGACCTCGCAGTAGGATCCTCCTTCACCACGACAACGCCTCGTCGCACACCGCCAAGCGAACGATCGACTATTTGGCGACATCAAACGTTGAATTACTGGGTCACCCGCCGTATAGCCCCGACCTCGCGCCTTGTGATTTTTATTTATTTCCAAAAATTAAAGAAAAACTTAAAGGAAAGCGGTTTATGAATGCTGAAGAAGCGGTGGCTGCGTATCGCGATGCCATTGAAGAGACCCCTAAGGACGAGTGGGCAAAGTGCTTTTCCCAGTGGTTCCATCGCATGCAGCGGTGTATTGACGTGAATGGACAATATTTTGAAAAGATATAATAAAACTAATAACTGGCTAATGTAATCAGTTTTTGATTTTCTAAGAACTTTCAGTTTGACCCTCGTATCCGCTTATATAAAAATCTTCATACCAAAAGAAATAGAAAATTATAATAACGTGTCTCTTTTTTTCAACTCTACTGCAATTCATAATCGCTTAACCATAGCCAAGCGGGTATACACCGATCTCACTAATTTGTTATCACAACATGCGATGTACACAACATACATGTCGTTACCGTCATAATTTTGAATTTTAAGCTATCCATTTTGAACGTAATTGTCAAGGATTTAAGGTTTAAAAGAAACTGGATTTATTTGAGGATTTAGTTAATATTATGTTGTTGACTGTACCTGTACAAGAAAATGTAGATTACCGTTGACCGTAAAGTAAGTAGTAGTCTCCATCTTTTACCACTGTGCATCAGTTCCATTAAGCAATTACTATAAAGACAGTTTATCAAAACTATTTACTTAGTGATTTTAATAGAAACACATTACATTACATAAGAGTGGATAAATAATTGGGTGTATTTATCCGTGTTTTTGCCCTGATTAACTGCTATTCAATGTTTTGAATAACTACAAGTTTAATAATCAAATATTTTACATTTGCTCTAATTCTGCACAGATTAATAACGCCATGACGTCCTGTTATTGTATCTTTATGCTTTTAAATATATTTATAGTTGTTTTTTGTACAATTATGTATAATGATCCAGTGCACAGAAATAAGAGACAATTGCTGTTTCCAAATTCAACTTTACTTCAAGTAAGTTTTCGTACGTTTTCTTAATATCAACCGAATATTTTACCTTTATAATTACCAAGCCTTGATTTATGAACTTTGTTATATAGTTTAGATCCTGTCAAACTAAGTTTTGTTTCTAATACCGTAAACAACTAAGATAATAAAATGACTATGTAAAAAGCCAAATAATAATAGGATGGCTGAAATAGAGAGCATTCATAGGAGTCCTCTATGGTTTGAGAATACCTATAGTAAAAAAATGTATCGGAAAAATACTATACGAAATCTTGAGTAAAACGTTTGGGCCAATGCTTTTCTTGATCAATATTAACGATCTGCCCGAGACTGCCAAACAGAGCAATGTCTTCTTTCCGCAGATGATTTAAAACTTCATCTCAGTATAAGAGGCGCTGAAGATACAATGAGTTTGCAAATTGACATAATTGCTATATCGGAATGAAGCAATAATAACAATCTCCCCTATCAGAACTGGCTGCAAACACTGTGCAATCATATTTAAATAAATATTTTTGTAACTTTATATGATGATCATCAGTTTACACCATCAGTTGCAATCACGTAAATACTTTAATCCCTGAACAAGGAAAAGTGCATATTGCCTAGTAAATGTTCGCGATTGAACAGGCAATCTTACACTTTTCCTTAAAAATACCAAATGTATAATTACCACTTTCACGCGAAAACGAAGCTATATAAAAGTGGATAATAAATCATCTGACGCATCTCTAGAAAGAGTAAATTAAATTCATGGTTTAGGACTGCCATTGTGATTTAGGATGCCACACACACATGTGATTAATATTAGTAAATCTGCGTACAAGCTTTTAGGTTTTATTAAAAGAACATCCTCGGAATCTAATAATATGTCCGTTGCTAGTATATTATACTGTGCCTATGTTCACAGTAAACTTGAGTATGGAGCAGTTATTTAGGATCCACATGAAGATCAATATGAACTGAAAAAAATGAAAAGTATGCACGCTGGTTATATAAAAAGTTCTATGGCTATTACCCATATCTGCATCCATCTCTGTTTGTATCAGGCATGCTTAACCTGGAGATCCTAGCACAAGGAAGAAAAATTCTCCTCGCTGCGCATTACCTTTTGTGCTCTATCACAGAGTGGATTGCCCAGGTGTATTAGAAAGGGTGAGCATTTCGGTTCCCATGCGTATTTCGTGCGATACTGTAGGTTTGGTGAAACCACGGCGTGTGTCGTGTCTTCTCTCCTGACTTCTCACTCGTATTGTATGTGCTTCGCAAGCACCCACACTGCGCGCAATGCGTCTGATCGGTGACATGCTCGCTCATCATGAGAAATCTGATTTGTTTATCGATTGTGTAAAACAACTTATACTTATGACTAAACCGTTTCTAAATTTTATAGACTTTAGAAGCAGGATATATTTGACATTTTATGTACTCTTATTGATATAAATTATTTTAATTGACATGTATTTTAGTATTCTTAGTAAAAATTGTTTAAAAAATCCAGTTTATTTTTTAGTATAGCATTGTGAATGCAAATTTGATCAAATATAATATTGTAATATTACAAGTTGTAATTTGTTATCACTTTTGCTAATATTATTAGACATATAATTATAATATCTATTTATTTTTCTCATTTTTTTAAGCTAAAGTAGAATTATTGAATTCTAATTTAACATTACTTATTATATTCTTGACATTTTAATATAACTTGCATATGTGTTGAACTGAAAATCTGTGAACTTGCAAGTGTATGTATAATTATAAATAATTAAAAGGCAATATCTATAAAAGGGGCAGTAAGACCGGCTCTAACATATGTTTCCAAATGCTAGCCGTTACGCAAAGAAGACGAACAGAGACTTAAAATGACTAAGATGAAAATGCTGTGTTGGCCGGTGGAGTCATCCTACGGGATGAGGTTAAAAATAATCATAGTAGGAGTATGTTTATAGTTTCCAATATAGATAAAATGCAGGATTAACGCTTGTGCTAATATGGGCGCTAATATCGCTGAGGCAAAAAGAGCTCTTGATCGCCTGATGACGACCTGGATAGAAGCATTGAGGAAGAAATATGAAAAGGGATTTCAACCCGAAATGATACAACAGTGCCCAGAGTGGCGAAGAAGGAGTAAAACAACAAGAGGCCAAGATGCTACTTTTTATAATATAGTATATGTGTATACTTTAAGTTCTTATGTTATGTTAGTAAGTTTTATTATGTTTTAAAAACAGATAATCGTGTATCAGATAGCATTATAATATAACCAAAAACATTATAATATAAAATGTTACTAAGACGAGACCATATGGCTCACACCATCAAAAAGTTTTCAAATCTCCTCTTTTAACTCTACACGTCATAAGTTTACAAACCCAAACTTTACACCATAGTCAAAATATGTAGCTTGGCCGTTTTATTATAACAAAAACCACTGTTGTACATATAACCAATAGTAAACTTACGCCTGTGTGACGATAGCAAATGTTAGTACATATATACAATTGTTGTTCATCCCAGTGTTTTACAAAATATTGCATAATACTAGACCTGACTTGCGACGCCCGCCACTTCAAAGTTTATTTGTTCAAACATCACATATGTTAGAGAATGGGTGAGAATGGACCCATCGCCCAGCATTTGTAATCAACTTCAAATCCAAGACGAGGTTATATGTTCACCAGTGATGTATGTTTTTATTTCATTACACGCTTACGAAGGGGTCCCTGTTCTATTTCTAGCGAAATTATTTTCTAACCATTTCCTTTTTTGAGTTGTTAAGAACAGTGTTATCGTAGTTATGTCGTGTTATGTAGATTTGCTGTTTTCACGTTCATGCTCCTGTTTTCATGTTTTCTGTTTCATTCCATATTTTTTTTCAACTTTGTAAAATTTTGTATGTTTAACAAATTTATTATTGGGATTACATTCCCAAGAATATCGAACCTCTAGGGTCAATTTTGTGGAAATTTCATGCATCCCTTAATTTAAGGGAATAAAGGGTAAAAGCTTCAAGTTTTTTAATTTTTCTGTTATGTAAAAAAAACCATCGTCCTCCACACTGTCGATAAAACCTTTATTACCTTTTGAAATGGGTTTAATTTTATTAAAAATCTAATCAATAATGATATAATAGCGCTCAATTCAAAATACCAAAACTGTTCGTAAGCCAATGTCATGAGATTAATCTGTAACCCAAAAGAATACTGAAGACGAACGCCGATCGTAAGTAATACTTAACAGAGATAACTATTTTATTTAAATTTTTTGACAAACTCAACACAATAAGCCCAATTATCAACATTCAGTTGAAATTATTTAGTCACATGATGTGAAATAGTTTTATTTGTTCTTTTTATATGGACTGTCACGAGACTAACGCGGCATTTAGTATAACAGTGATAAATAAATATAAGTAACTGTAAATAAATATATATCATACCATTAAATACTTTTAGTGTTTATAGTGAAATGAATAATAGAATAAACAACGCGAATAAGCACAACCAACGGAAGCAGACCTCTCTGTTAGTAGGGAAGTTCTATATGAAGCGCGGTCGGTACAAAGTTCACTGTGACGTGCAGCCGAGTGTACATATTTTGATAATGATGTTCAGTTATCCGAAACGAAACTAAAATATCCAAAAGTGGTAAATTATTATAGTTTTAATTATTAAATTTGATCAATTTTATATTGATCAAGAAATGCGTAGCCTTTCGTAGAGGCGATACTTTGCATAACTCGAGCTGCCGACCGACCTCTTTTTATTTAGCTCCCTGTTATTTTTTGTCACTTAGAACCGCCATTTGCTAGGATTAAAAAGCGTATTGATAATCATCTTACACCCGCTATTTTTCTCTCCCTGACAAAGTGTGGTTCTGAACCACAGAAACGGATAAGGAGATGCCACTCTGCCGGATGTAATATTACCTAACTTTTCTCTTAGACCAACTATATCAATTAAAATCTACTTCCATAGATAATAATGGTTTTATTTCATTGAACCTCTATGATGTAACAATGTTGCGCTCGACGTCGAATTTTATATTGTTCTTACTACAAAATAGTAGATGTTTAAAATAAATAATTCCTTTTTTTTCCAGTTCAATTGTGGAATCGGCACACCGACTACAGCCGATATGATCATCATGAACTGGGCATTCCAGGCTAACTTCCAACTACCCTGGAACCGTTCGCAGATACCAGTTGATATCCTGGAGACTGATAGCGCATATCTAGGCCTGTCTAGGAAGAAACGAGATAATAATCAAGCATATAATAACGACGCGAGACTCTATCACTTTTATAAATATATTGAGGAGACATTAAATGGGTAGGTAATATTTTTAATAAAATTGGCACACGAGTGAAACAAAATTGAGTAACTAGGTCAAATCAGGAGCGATGAATTTAATAGTAAACAAATCGTTTGTTAAAATTAATTATTAAAAATGCTTTAACTTCGTTAGGATAGAAAATGGAAAAATTCACAATGTGTTTAATATCACTTTGAAGAAGATCTCGTAGGCCACGTTGCATTTGCTGTCATTAACATTCACAAATCTAAACTGGACCCGTGTAGTCTGTACTACTTATTACACTCAATTAAAAACTTTCTTATGGATTGAGCCAAGTAAGTAGCCTATGGTAATGGAGACATTAATTGGTTGATTATAGTGAAGTATATAACACTGAAAGGCATAATAAAGTATGTTAATTTATTTTGGACCCGCGATTCTGTAAAAATCCGAATCCAAACTCGAATTCACTCAGGTGTTCGAATTTACTTCAAAAACGGCATCCGCTCAACTTTGAATAACTTTTCGTGGCATAAGTGAAGTGAGTTTCGAAATGACATAGTGATAGAATATCTGAGTCACGTATAATCAATCAATTTTGTTTTGTATTTTTGTACAGAAAATGGAATCAATGGTGTATAACACTAAATGACGTGAATTCGGATACATGAGTGAATTAATCACTCCCCAGTATTTTTTCCCTTCTCAATCTATTTCTAAGAGAGGGGTTATCGCTAATAACAAAATTTTGTAGTTAAATTTTTAACGCTATTGACAAACCAGCACATTATTTTGAAATAAAATAACATACACTTATTGGATTTAATTGAACCTTCATTATACTTAACTCAAAATATTGAAAAATAGTTTTAAAAACATTGATAAGTTACTGACTTGCAAAGAAATTTGAAGTAACATATTGATAACATATATTTTCAGAACAACTTTAAACGGTTTCATCGCATTTGTATTTTACTTTTATTGACATTTCAAACCCTTTATCTACAGGTTCCGTATTCACATAAGACTAACAACTATTTATTTGTCTTAATTGACTGTCTTAATATTTGAATTTAACATTCAAAGCAGTACCATCGGAAACATCTACAATACAAAAAAAAATTTGGAAACGTTTACATGTATTAAATGTTTCTTTTTAATAGCTATTGTATTGCCTTTCGTATCATTCAAAGAAGGAATCTTTGTTCAGTCGCGAGAAATTTTAGATTGTCAATCTTTGGGTCTTCTTAACGCATGTTCACACACTGCAGATTTATTTCCATGCCTGTTTAAAAGTCGTTTCATTTTTTGAGGTAACATTTTTATTCATCTTTAAATATACGTATTTTAACTCATAAAGCCTATGTCCGAGACAAATATAAGTATATTTTCTGACGTATGTAATTTAAAATGTCACCTATTTTTACAAAACTAACGTCAAATAAAGTTTTTAAAAGTTAACTTTGATTTTATTTCAGTCACAGATAATTTTATGTGCTCGGCTGATATCCGCCATTTTGAAGTACTGTCAAACTTATAGGAAAATACTTAAAACTTCCATTATTGACAACTTGTTACGGGGCTTACTCTAACTCTGGACTCTTTTTCCGAATTTCCTTTAATTTGTATTTATGAGTTATGTTTTAAATTGTGTTACTTTTTTGTAACCTTCATTTTTGTTTGTCGTTGTTGTTGACAATGTTATGAACTCATGATTTATTTAATAACATTTTAGGAGCAACTGTTTAACATTTATTTTACGAGCTTTCTATATTTGTATCTTTCGATACTACCATGTTAACAATTTGTATATCAAATCGGATCATTAATTGCTTAAATTGGTACACAAAAAGGTTGATTAAATAAATAATTTATACGCAATAACGATAGAGGTTAAATGAAACTGCTTTTAAAAGGTTTTATCGTGTGTATTGTTGAGAAACTATTACATCTTCCGAACGTTTCGGATCCTTCACAGGTTCCATTTTCACTAGAGTAAGATGACATCTTGAATGAATGAATAAATTCTTTACTGTGCACTATAATTATACAACAATTGATACAGTCTTAAAACATGACAGTACATATCGCGAAGGAACATCAAACGTTCCTTCAAATAGGTAGGTGAGAAAGGATTGAATAAATATACTATAAAGCAGGGAAACAATATGTTTCAGTCGTGATGGTGGCCGATGTAAACTTTCTCACAATTTCTCGCCATCTTGATCTGTTGACCGATATTCTAGTGCATTCGTCTAGAGTGTCTCCAACTGCTGATTTTATTTGGTCAATTCTTTCGACTCCTCTATGGACCACGAAACGATTTCCCCTCGGGTCATACACAGAGTTCTTCAAAATTCGAGACTCTTAAGGTTGGCAGACGCTGCGTGATGCCGACTTCTTGAAGTATAGAGTAAGTGTTTGTACGAAAATCTGCCCACGACATCCCCAAAATTTTCCTCCAGCACTATATCTCCATAGTATCGATCCTCCACCAACAGCGTCACCAGTCTATCAATATCTCTACTAGGGCACAGGCCTTCTCTATGGATGGCTCAAATAGAATCAAGTAAGAAGAATGAGCCACAATCCACCACGCCAGTGTAAATTGGTGGGTATTGACGACGCCGCAGCCGGAACCAACGGCTCAACGTGTCTTCTGAAGTACGGAGGAGCTTGAGATAATCAATTTTTGGTCACCAATCCTATGACCTGCTCTTGCGCTAGTTAGATACGCATACTGTGCCATCGAACATTTCAGATGGTTATTTTTTTTTAAATATTAATTAAAAACTGCCTTGACGCAATAGCTATCGGGTACATTCATGATATTAAAACGTTTATACAAATTAAATAATTATTTCAAAATATTTACCTCTGACTATCATAAAGTGCTACCGTTTCGAAGTTTTGGAAAGCTGACAGAATAAATTTGGACACCCATCCGGGGACCGCTTTTAGGCAAATTTGCTTAACCCCAACAATTGCAATCTAAAAGTCTTCTCCCCAGCGTTATAAAACGTTTCTTATGCCGTAATTTTCAATTTACTGTACTCAAATAATATATTCTTAAATATTTCCTCTTGATAAATTGTTTAAAATGTGAAAAAGCCTAAATATAATAGACAAACAATATTATTATTGCCTACTTCAAAAAGCAATTTGCACATATATCGCTTATATCAATTTTCATTTTCCAAATGCCATACGGTAATTTATTGCTGTTTACTTTACGATATAACAACATTTCGTTTGCTCGCTTCTGCTTAATGACATTTCACGTTAATTTATACCAATGCTGCATAATATTACTGTACATATATGGTTTATTATGAACAAAGCTCTATAAAATACTCTGAAGATATATTTTTTACACAGACCTAAGATTTAGGGTATAATACATAATTGGTTTTAAACACATCTTCAAAAATGTACTCTTATTTCCTATTTGTCAATAGTCTAGTTTCAATTTTAACACTTAAGTTAATATCAATTAATTTTAATGCGAAATTTCGTGTGTCATTTATGAAACACCGTTCAAGGAAAAGATTAGATGATAGATTACGGTAGCCCCCCTGGCTACCGTAATCTATCATCTAATCTTTAAATTAATAAGTCTAATGTGTTTTTAAAATAATTTGATTTAATATATGTTAACTTTGCGCTAAAATATAAAAAAAAAAATGTATTATGAATGTGTCTTATAGTATTGTTTTGAAGGTAGCTATACTCTTAATTAAAAAGACAATCAACACCTAAGTCTAATGTGAACACGAAACCTGTAAAAGTTCCAAAACGTCAATAAATCTAAATACAAACGCTATAAAACTATTTGAAAGTTGTTTCATTAAAAATAACTATCAATTTTCTTCAACTAATTTTGTTTAAATTGAGTACGTTAAGTCTTATTACCATGAGTAATTTCATATGATGCTGTGTAAAAGTACAATGTATTTAATAATCTCTTTGCAGATTTGGTCACAACGGCACTGAATGTGTTTTGCTAACTTTATGTCACCTCGGCTCTGAACCTCTATACGTCGATGATGATGAAGATATCCTTCACGAGTTAACAAGCTTTGCTTTAAAGTAAGTACTAATTAATAATTTAATTTAGTTAACGTAAGTTCCCATTACTTTAGCACTAGAGCATGATTTCTATATTTAATAAATATTATGTATCTAATAATGTCGAATAGCACGTCAGGATACTTAACTTTTGTCTTTGTTTCTGTCAAATTTATAATCTACTAGCTTTCCGCCAGCGGCTTTACCCGCGTGGGCTCTAGAGACCTGTTTACTTGGGTATCGATTCATATCATGACACGAATGTAATTAAAATAATAAATTGATTAGTCAACAATGGTTAGTATAGTTTAATACCCTATACAAACTTCTACTCCATTTTTTGCCTTTATTTGCTGATTATCGGGATAAATTATGCTCACCGTATATTATCATGTAGCTTCCCGTAGATGAAAGAATTTTCAAACTGGTCTAATAGTTCTCTATATCTATCTGCATCATCAGGAGTTGTTAAATGTCACATACTGCACACAGTGCTAAAATGATCTTGCAGAATTTTCTAAGAAATAGTCAACCAATAGACTCTTTACTTAACTGATAGGGTAGGACTTAGCTAGGTATCGTAGTTTCACAGTTATACTATAAGAGTTATATTTGACTATACTTATTGAGATATAGCACTAATGATAAAATAATTAGACCGTACAAGTACACAATGAGGACAAGACATAAGACATACCTAAGTCCGAAGCTATGGTAATAGCGATAGAAAATCAGAATGTTTCATCATTGATAAAAAGCAGTCGCATTATTATCGAGCAAGTGGAAAAACCATCGAACTAAATATTAAAAATATTACCTGCTTCTTTATAGACTCAAAAAATGTGGGAGAGAAAGAGAGATAGATAGATAGATTTATTAAGTTACAGACATGAGACACACTACAAGGTTACATACAATGACAAAAGTTATAAAATAATAAAAACGATACATAGGTAAACTAGACTGATATAAATATGTATCGCAACCGCAATGAAAATAGGTAGCCAATCTAGCAAATTTGTAAGATATTTATCGAACCTGATGATTTTCAATTGGCTCCTTGCTGTTAATAAAAGTCTAAACGTCGTTTTAACCCAGATAAGCCTACTGTCCTATATTTAGGACAATGGAAATAAAAAAAAATATCAGAATACCCTCTTTATCTAAGATTATTTAGTCTTATGATTTGCAGTAAGAAACGTGTCAGCTTTATTAGAAAAAATAAAAAGACAGTTATTTTAACAGTTTTTACCTTATATTTTACCTTATAAGTGTGTAATAAAAGTGCGTTGCAGACATGGCAAATGACAGGTATGTATAAAAAGTTATGTTTTACTCGTGAGTTGTTTTTTTCTGTGTTAATATCTAGTTGATAACCTTAACTTTTGTACTAAATAAATATTCTAGCAAAATAATATAAATAAATTACGTATAACTTGTTACAAATACTAGCGTACTATATATAGGACAGTAGGATAATATACATGATTTTAGTACAATAATACAACTTTTTCTTTACAGACCGTTAGCTGCGCATGAAATTTTAGATGCTTTAGAAAATGTTTCTGATAATGAAGAAGATTATAGAGAACGACTGATATGTATTCTACCTCCTCCTGTTGATCCTGACTGTCTCACTGACGAAGATTCGGGTGAAGAAGATAATGTAACTTTGAATAATTTGCCACGAAACATTCTGCTTCAACCGGCTAAAGTAATGATTCAAGGGCAGATTATGGTGAGTGATACAGAAGAAGAACCTTCTGATTCTACAGGTCGAACTAAACGTAGGCGTACCTACGCATGGAGAAAACGGGACTTGGCAAAAAATCCCGTGAATTGGCCAGATGTTCAAGGCGCTTGCCAAGATAAGCGCCCAATTGAGTGGTTTGAAAACTTCTTAGATGAAGATGTTATTTCGTTGTTGGTGTCAGAGAGCAATAAATATGCTGTCAAAATAATTTGCCTGGAGACATAACCACTGAAGATATGAAATGTTTCATCGGCATATTGTTGGTTAGTGGTTATTCATGGCTCCCCCGTAGAAGAATGTATTGGGAAAACTCCCCTGATACAAAGAATGAATTGATCAGCTCGGCTATGACTAGGGATAGATTTGACTTTATTTTTCGCCACCTTCATGTCAATGATAATCTGGATTTGCAAGACAAATACACAAAAGTACGCCCCCTAGTTACACTTCTAAATAAAAAGTTCTTAGAGTTTTCTCCTCTTGAAGAGCATTACAGTGTAGATGAGGCCATTATCCCCTACTATGGTAGACATGGCTGCAAACAGCACATAAAAGGTAAACCTATTAGGTACGGGTTCAAAGCTTGGGTTGGTGCTACACGGTTAGGGTATGTTTTATGGATGGAACCATACCAAGGTGCTACAACTATGTGCAATCCAATATATAAAGAATCAGGGCTGGGTGCAAGCGTTGTTCTCACTTTTTGCGATGTGCTGATTTCACGTGGCTTCGACCTTCCTTACCACGTAGTTTCTGATAATTTTTTTACTGGGACGCCCTTGCTGGAGGAGATAACAAAGAAAGGCCTTCGTTGCACTGGGACAGTTCGAGAAAACAGGACATCTAGTTGTCCTCTGATTACATCGAAGTTACTGAAAAAAAAGGAACGTGGTGCTGTCGATTACAGAACGACACATGACAACACGTTCATTATTGCTAAATGGCATGACAATAATATATTCAGTATTGCTTCTAATGCTGTAGGAATAAATCCTAAACAATCTGCCAAACGCTTCTCACAAAGTGAAAAGAGAAACATTGTCATAGAAGAACCACATATGGTGTCCATCTATAACAAATATATAGGAGGAGTGGATCGGTCTGATGAAAATATTTCACATTACCGAATTGGTATACGAGGTAAGAAATGGTACATGCCGTTGCTCACACACATGATTGATCTTGCCGAACATAATGCATGGCAGTTATATAAAATAAATCATGGAAAACTGGATCATCTTGGCTTTCGCAGAAGGGTAGCAATTGCTTTGATTGAATCAAACAGAAAAAATGCCAAAAGAGGGCCTAGCCGACCCTCCCATCATGAACATGCTGATAGTCGTAAAGACCAAATGAATCATCTGGTTATTCCTCAATCGAAGCAAACACACTGTCGTCAATGTCACAAAAAATGTTTGACACGTTGCAAGAAATGTGATGTTGGAGTGTGTGTCAAGTGTTTTGAAACATATCATTCATAAATAGTGTTAATCTAGTAAATTACATATAACAATGGGTAATATAATCAATAGTTATCTAATAAACTACACTTTTTGATTACATTCTGTTTTGTCATAAATGGTCTTTTATTTCCTCTTATTATCCTACTGTCCTACATATAGGACGGCTGTTTCCCTGAAAGCCTTACACTTAATTTTTTTTTCATAATTTTTTTTATGTTGCATAAGATCTAATAAACTAAATAATGTAAATTTTTTCAAAATTTTCAGAAAATTTTAGTTTCAGGCTTATCTGGGTTAAAATTCATGGTTCTGTTTTCACGAAATTTGCGCTTACATTGTTAAATTTTGATAAAACTTTTTAGTGAATAAAACATTCTCAAATGACCTTGCTTTTAAATGTATAGTAACCAAGTTTAATTTTAATACAAAATGTAGTTTAAATTAAATTAATCTGAATAGTGAATTTTCTAAGAAATAGCCAACCAATAGACTCTTTACTTAAATAGGTATTTTATTATTGTATTGATTATTATTATTTATTTTATTATTCAATTATTAGTTTAATGATTATGCATAATTTCTCGGAAATTACGAAATACCTCACCAACATTCCCTGATCGTGACAATCTTCAAGTTTCTCAATGAAGTTGGAATGAATTCGACGAGGAATCTCATGGTACTCTCCCTAGTGCACATATTCTTTGAAAATTCTCGTTGAGTAAGATGTGTCTCTATGAACTGTGTTTGAAGGCAAGAGATAATTGTCTGACGGTAAGACGCTGGCAACTTTATTGATCGTACGCCTTTGTATATCTGTAATACAATAAAAACGACATAATACACATATTAATGTCAAGAAGTATGTGACATCAAAGTAGCTTTATAATATTAGTGTAGTAAGAATTATATATTTTATTATTATCATTGCTAACATAATAAGCTTTGCTAATATAAAAAGATAGTAATTCGCCATATTTAATTCGAACATTAGATATCAAAACTGTTTTAGATATCTATCGTGGGAACTTAGGTAATATGTAAACCACGACGAATTCATGAGATTGAGGCCAATCAACACTGCAATAGTTTTCATAGCGGATAGTACTTACCTCAGTAATTGGCATCATCGATGAAAGTACATTATATAATGTAAATGTAGATACCAGTACAGAGTGGTATTAATTATAAGTATCATAATTAATATCAATAGACGATATTAAGGTGTTGCCATCATAGCGGTTCGAGGTCGATGCCCAGCTAGGTCAATATAGAAAATTATATTTTCTACGTTGTCTCGGGTTTAGGTAGTAGCTTCGCTATCTATACCAATATATAAAGAAAAAAGATTATTTGTTAGTTTGCTTTAATTAGGCTCCAAACTACAGTACTAATTTTTAAAATTCTTTCATCTCTGGGAAGCTACATCACATGCAGATTACGTAGGTTATATACAAAACTAGCTATTTTCCCGCAACTTTGCACGCGTAAATTATAGCTTATGTCAACCCCGTATGACGTAGCTACCAGTAAGTATAAGGATTTTTAAAATCGGTCCAGTAGTTTCGGAACCTATTTGATAGTTTCGGAATCTTTCCTCTTTATAATATTAGTATAGACAAAGGTTTTAACTACTTAGTATGTCACCGTGTTCGTGTGGTCTACTATTTACTTATGATCTTCTTTAATTAAAAATTTTATTTCCTTTCAGCCCCAGAAATGATGTGGAATTCATTGAATATGAAGAGGAAATACGACCATACGTAGAAGCTTACGAGCGTGGTGAAAATTTCCAAAACTGCTCCAACCATTACCGAAAATGCTCTATACCACTTTTAGACTTATTTTCTAAGACATATACTCCGTAAATTCATATGTTATCTAGGACAAACCAAACCCACCACCATTTTAACTTATTAAAAATATAAGTACCTACTTATTATTATTGTATTTTATAAATTTTGCATTCACAATGCTATACTGGAAAATATTCCCAATGAAAAATGCTTAAATACGCTCTTCTTGATGAAAATACGCCCAATAATAACGAAAAGTGCTTGAAAAATGTATCAGTCCTGTTAGGTCCTGGGTAGCTCAGTGGTTAGAGCAGTCGACCGGATTGCGAAAGGTCGTAGGTTCGTGTCCCATCTTAGAGTAACTGGGGCTGATGGATTTTACATAGCGTAGGTTAAAATGTACGTTACGCTACTGATACCTACATAAGAACTATATCTCAATATATATATACCAAAAAGTTACTTAGTTTGATTTTGTGGAATTTATACACAGTACGTTTTCAACCAGTGTATAATATTTATTCTGTGTGTGTAATATTTTTGATAGAATATATTTACAAAATACTCTCTTGACGTCAAGAGGGTTGCAGGTTCCAAATGGATGGAAAGGGCTCAATTCCGTGATGAATGGTAAATGCTAAGGGAGGCCTTCACTGATTCAGTACAGACAGGCTAAAGAAGAAGATTTACAAAATACAAAATGCCATAAGAAGCAACATGTTTTACTTTTTTTATCTTTAAAGTTAGTAGCTAAAGAGAGAAATAAGACGTGAATATGATTTGGAGAAACGAACATAATATAAAAATTTGTACATTGTTTTTTTAAGCAGGTAACTCTTGAGTGTCGTGCTATAGCTTAATAGGTGTTTACAAATCATGTGGATACGACATTCACAAATCAGCTAAAGAGTTTTTGTGTCGTTTCTCAATAAACTTTATTTAAATAAGTCATCTTATCAAAACTTATGGATAAATTACATATTACTATACATTTATATTTTTTTATTTTGCATACAGCAAACTCCCGTCGTCGTCAAAATTACTAACTCGAACTCTTCCGTACTTCAGAAGGTACGTTTAGTCGTTGATACCGGCCCCAACTGCAGTCCTCAGCAACCGTCAAGCTCATGATGGGTGATGCCCAGTTCTTCGTATTTAGTCCCATCCATAAAAAGAGCAGTGGGAACAATAATAGGCTGATGTCATCATATCATGATAATAATGACCACAAAAAACCAAAATTTGGATTCCCTACTTTTAATATCAAACATTCCAAAGTAATTATTCTTTTGTGGAATGAAAGAAACTTCTCTGTAATATTATAAAATTTATTTCTAGTATAAACAATCTTTAATTATTATAATTAAGCTACTGTCCCTACAGTGGAGGCGTCCAAAAAGAAAGATTATCAATCTTCAAGAAAGGTAAACGCAAATTCGAACACGAACACTTTATGTTTTAAAATATTGACTATAAATCGTTCAGAGAGTATATCCATACTAATGCGCATGGACGTCATAGTGCCTTTGTTTATTAACAGTTATTTTATTGACAATCCTTTAATTGCATTTTTATAGTTTTCACTCATCATCATCAAATATTACTTTTGGGTAGTTATATTGGGCAGCAATATTGGCATTACTCACATTTTAGAATTCTGAACAATCACAACAGTGCAATATTTGATATTACAGAATTTAATTTTTATATTTCTGTGATAAGTATAGTTTAGAATTATGGAATTAGGTCAGATATCAGAAGTGGGGTTGGAGCTAGCGGGCTCCTAGCTGGATCCCGGGTTCCCCCTAAGATGGTGCTACGCAGCGGGTTTTACCAAGTAGGCCGGCTTCGCTTAAAGCTCTCCTTTTCAGGACGGGTGTGGGGTCAGAGAGCCCTGGTTAAGGTTTAAGATGCATTTCCCCTGCGTTATCAAAAAAAAAGGTCAGACATCAGATGATGTTTTCCCTGCATAATACCACTCGGCTATGGAGGAAATAAATAACTTTGTCTATATTAAAGAATATATACATATATATGTATAATAATAAATGTATACTGACTAACCGGGAATCCGGGTTCGCCATCTTTCAGGCTCGGTGTGTGAACGTAAACGGAATTTTTAGTAACTTTTTTCAAATTCATTCTTTATTCATTTTTGTATCAGTTTGATTATCTCATTGATATATTAAAATCCGAAGCTATGAAGAGTCTTCTCTCCTATCTCTGTAAAGGTTTCAAGGATGGAGCCTTCACATTCAGGAAACAGTGCCTCGCAGTCTACGCCTCTCTCGCTGCCCAGCTTCTCCGCGGCATGATACTCATTGTCTGTGTGGTGTGATAGGGAGTCCGTAGTAGTCGATGGTCTGATGGAATCAATATTTATTAAATTAATGCCTTATTAAAAACATATAAAATTTGTTAAAAACATTTCTTGTGAAGATGAAATATCATAGATTCATTACTTTTGGTAATAGATGGAGCAATTATGTTCTAATTTGACATTTCTATGAATGACGAACTCTATTTCATAAAAACATTTATTTTCTTTTCTTATGAATGACCATTAATATAATTAACCAAGTATATAATTAAGATCAGATTCCTAATAATGATTCGCTTGTTTGTGATAATATTAAAAAAAAAAAAACAAGTATATTTCTTCGACAAATTATTCGAAAAAAAAGTGATTTGACTATTTTAGAAACTTACTTATTTCTTGAAATATGGATGATCATTAAACAATTTTAAATACCTTCATACACATTGAATCATTATTTGATTTTGATCAATAAAGTTACTCAGAAAACGTTAATAACTAAATCTAAAGAAAAATGATATTTATAGAGTTTTGATATTAAGCGCAAAACCATATACGTAGTTGTAATAAAAGATGTGGGTTCTTTTATTGAAATTTGCCATGTAACAAAAGCTGAAAATTATTATTTTATACCCCTGGAGTTTATATACCACTGAGCTTTTGCGTACTTGCAACTCTGTGGTACTAAGTGTCGAATTAATATTTACTCTAAAGAAAATTTTCGGGTTTATTTTATTGAAACTAGTGGTCATCCAATGGTTGAAATTCGACCAAAATAAAAAAATGCTTTCTACATTTCTTCGCCGAATAAACTTTAACTTTAAGGGGTACAAAGTGTTTGGATTACATATTAAAAAAATATTTTTTCAAATTAAGACATCATTTTATCGTCTATAAAAAAAATACATTTATTTGAAATTCAACAGTAAAAAAGAATGGTACCATCATTTATCTATATTATGATGGATCAATAATCCACCGTTGAGAGTGTGCACACAGTAAATTCAACAAATCAAATAAAAAACGTCCAAAGCAACTATAATTTATAAGCATTAAACTATAGAATATGTCTGTTATTGCCAGTATATTGATACTTTACTTTTTGTCACAAAGATAAATGGCAATTAGAATTTGAACTCTAGGCGACCATTACTTTATTTTATTTTTTTTTATTGAAAACGACAGGTTTATAGAATACACAAAACACAATTTCTGCTAAAGTTGCAAAGCCTTCAAACTAACCCAATATTTACTTACGTGAAAAGTATATGACCAATTTCAGCTAGCAAACCATTTTCGTGGGTGAATGGAACTTCGGCTGCTTCACAAATTGTTCGGAGCATGCAAGGTCTGCCTGAATAGCCATACCTGCATGATTTTTAAAAAATATTCCTGCATGAGTTAAAAATTTATTTTCTTTTAGAAAATTTTGAGTGCATAATATAATTTTAAAAAGCATTTACTCGTACATGCAGAATGTTTCCTATTTTATATAAAAAAAATATGACTTTGAAGGTTCTTATTCCTAATTGAATAAAATAATTTTTATTTTTGTTACTTAACGTTCATGACTGGAAATTTCGTATTGTCAAATTTTTATTTAACTGTTTAGCGATTTTGTTAGGTGAATTTAATTATCAAAATTTGAATAAGTATTAAATGATAGACAAAACGTTTTTGATTATTTATTTATCTTCGAAACAGAAGAATATATGTGACTGTCCATATATTATAAATTAATTATCCAGATATTGTCTATTTATTAAGATACCATAGACTTACCTTTCAGACATGTGTTCTAATATTTTATAAAAATCCCATCTGTTTATTGTTTGACGTTCTTTGGCGTCTATAAAGTTTTGGTCTATTTTTTCTTGCCTTTCAATAGCTTCTTGCAGTGACAAATCATCATCGACACCTGTCACATTAACATCAACTAAAGTGCCACCTTCTGCATAAGCCACAGATCTACGACTTCTTTCTTCGCCAAATGTTATATCAACTAATGTATCATTATTATCATTCTCATCATCAATGATATTTTCATCCAGTGAATTTGTAACATCCTTTGTGTTTTTTTCGCTGTCTTCGTTGTCAATTTCTGGGTTATCAATCATATCTCTACTGGCTACTGTATTAGCAAAACCATATATTCTGCTTGTGTATTCAGTACTGTTTGTCGGTAAGTCATATTGAAATTTTATAACCGTACCAACAGTAACTGAAGCTTCTTTTAAATCAACAGGTATACCCAAACCTATGATAAACTGAAATATATAAATAAATTACATAAATTATGTTTGATATGTAACTTCAATATTTTTTGTTATGTGTAATAAAATTGTAAATCATTTTGGAAACATCTCAATTTTTATCACAAATAAAAATATGTGCTTTCATATAAACTCAAGCACTACATTGCCAACAATATAATCAGAAGTTAATTCATAGAAATCTGAATGAATTCTAATTAGAAAGTCCTATCGCCTTATCTTTTTAATAAAAAAGGCGTAACACAAGAAAAATCTTTCACTATCTTGAAAACGGTTGGCTAAAGCGAACAACTTAATTGCATTTAAATTCCAGAACAAAAAATAATACGGCGCTTCGTTAGGCTTGGATCCCGAGTGCAAAGAAAACATCATTTACTTAAATCAGCTGGGTTATGTAAATTTGCATGGATAATATGAAAAAATCACCTACCTGAGCTCTGGCGGGCCCACCGTCTGGGTACACTAGGTACCTTTTATGTCTCTCATTCGACGTCACCGTTATAAGCAAATCGAGTAATGTTAATGTAAGTAACAACGCCTTATTTTGCCGGTAAATCGTATAGGAGAGCATGGCGTCGTCTTATGAATACAGTACAAGATAAAATGTTTAATGTTTGAACAACGCCTACGGCAGTTTCTATCTAATGAACCGTTATGTTTTCCCAGTGATTTGGAAAGTACCGTATGGCCCAGATGGCTTTATTCACTGACTTGATGGTGAATGCGTTCCTGTATGTATATTATTATATACTGACAGAATTGTTATTAACTGACGCTTTTAATAAAGATAAAGATTGTGAGCGAACTCATTTTTAAAATTCAAATTTTCATTGATTCCTCATTCTTCTTTGAAGACCCACAACATTCGTAGTGTGCACAGAAACAATATGTAATTAGTAACTGTCGTTGTCAATAAAGATGAAATGAAATATTTAAATTATTAATATCGGCAGAATATCAATTTGACTCATCGGAATGCACAGTACGACCTTGCCATTGAATTGGGAAATTCACGGATCGCAATTTTCACATCTGACGATCGACAGTAAAAAAAAACAGATCGACAGTGAGCATTGGTATGCTTAATATTTCACTGGAATTTATTCATACTATGAATTTCAATTGAAATATGATTTTAGTGAGATATTTTAAATCATTCGCTGTTACAAAGCGAGAGGGAAACAAAAGGTATTTTAATTTAATTTTGATGATTTGTTTAACAAAAAAATATTAAATTATCATTGAATATCATGAAAATCTAATAGCAACGTTTCAAATACGAGTGACACGGTCAAAGGCTTTAAAGATATAAATATAAAGTTAACAAGCAAAGCAAAAACATGTGCACAGCACATTGGTTCGATGCTTGAAACCACAGAATTCCATTTTATCCGCTCATTTCAATAAATTGGCCTGAGACCGGAATACAGAGACTGCCTTTGATGCGGTGTGGTATTCGGTCGCATCGTGGAATGCTTGGATATGGATATTTCCGATTTGTAGACTATAAGTATTTGGTTTTTTATTCCTATTCATATATATCGGTATTAGTTTTTATCTTTTTAATATTTATGTCATTGAAGATCACAATTTTAGATAAATATATAATAGTCTATCTCTGTAATCAAAAATAAAATAAGAAGACAAGGAACACGTTGTCCTGACTCTGAGTGAAACTTTAAACAATTATAGAACAGTACACGTAACTTAAACCTGGTTAGCCCCAACGAAATAAAAATAATCACAGCTCGATAACAATGCACACAAAATATACATAAATCCAATATCAACAGATTGATCGATTAAACTTTAACCTTTTAGTGTAACCTGAAGTGCTGTCAAATATAAAAGTAGTTTTACGAAGTGTGTGTAAAGCGAATAACGTCTAAGATCAATTAATTATTCTAAAAATTCATGCAAGGGCAGTAAAAATATAATAGGCAAAACTACACATATTGTACCTGTATGGTACAGGTTGACACTGCCTGAACCATCTGAATCAAAACCAATTGACTTTCTATAAGATGTGAATGTGACGAAATTAAATCTCATTAATTTTTTCTTGTTTCAAAACAATTCGAATTGGGTATTAAATAAGTGGATCATAATTTGTAATTTGTTTTAATAATTAAGGGAATGATGTTCCAATTTTATGGAATCTTAAATGAATAAGTTGGATAATGAATTCCAATTGTCAATTTCATGATTGACCTAGTTTTGATGTGGCTAATGAAAAACTTCATCGTAAGAAGAAGATATAAGCTAAATTTTCAAAATTAGCATAACATAGATTATTTTACCTTTTAATGATTGGATTTTCTGTGTTCAGGAGTTTTAGGGCAAAGTTTGAAAAGGTTCATAAACTACAGTTTTTGGTTTAATTTAAAAGTAGAAAATAATATATGACAAATATAATATTATCCTCCGATATAGATACCCTCCAATCCGTGTTGGGCCAGCGTGGCGGGTCATGGCCCATCCTCTTTAATCATCATAAGGAAGGCCCATGCAGTGGGGACGCAAAGGGGCTGATTATGATGAAATATAATTATTTAAATTAATACTTCTCAAATTAAAATAAATAAATAATAAATAGTTCACTAAAAATTCAAGTCAGGCATTCAAGAAGCATCTTCAATTAATAATATCTTTTTTCTTTTATTGTTATATAATTAAAATAAAGTACATACAAAGTCAATACAATATGCATAAAATAAACATAGTCATTACTTTAGGATGAACCAACAACTATTAACTAATGCCGTTATGAACTCATCAAAACTAAAAACATTACAAAATCATACTAAAACTATGGAGTTACCCAATCTAGTATACCAAATCGTATCAATTAACATTCATTAGATGAAATAGCGTCTAACGATAAATAGTCGTGAATCTACGTTGTGCGTCACGAAAATGTGACTTCTGTAGTGTATATACATATATAGATGATGTTATAATGTCACCGGCATCTGTACAAGCACATACAAGGCAGCGCGTTCCGCCAAATTTCTTCGACAAATACTGAGTCGTCAAACGTTCGTTAAGGAAACCCGTACATGTTTGCCCTGAGCACTTGCCGTATGAAGTAATTTCATTGGCTATGAGAGTCGTAGTTTCTTATAGAGTTCGCCTAAAATATTTACATGTGGATCACCATATACATTATTGTGTACGTATTTCTTTTAAATTTCTTTTTGTACTTGAAAATTTCTTACTATAGATTCAATGTCAAAAAAGTTGTATTTAACCTACTTTTGATTACTATATTTTGTTTTCACCTGACCCTGATGTTTGTCTGAATTTTATCCACTTCCCAGTATCCGTTTGCTGAAATTTGAAATATACTTTTAGGTCTACAGAGCGATTCCGTAAAAATCCAAACTCGAATTCGAACTCACTCAGGTGTACAAATTCACTTCGAAAGCGACATCCGCTTAACCTTGATTTGGTATAAACGTTTCGTGGCACAAGGGAATAGAGTTTCGAAATGATATAGTGAAGCCTGAGACGTGTGTGAATCAATTAATCTTGGTTTGTATTTTTATACAAAAATGAAATCAATAGAATTTCTACACTAATATAAGTTAAGCGTATTCGCTTTTAAAGTGAAATCGGACACTTGAGTGAGTTTGAATTCGGGTTCGGAATTTTAAGGAATCGTTCTGAAGATTACAATGCAATTATATCTAATAGGACATTATTAATCCAAAATAGCGGCCGTATCAAATTAGCGGAGCATACATTCAAAGAACCCACCATAATATGGGTATCAAATGTCAAAAAAGTAATATCATTTAACTTAACGCGTAGAACACCATACCCATAAATAAAAGCTGGTTTAAAAAAAAAATTTTTTTCTTATTCAAGCATGACTCATTGTTGGTAAAATAATAGATTTATATTTATTTACAGTTCCCTGCTAGCTTTAGCTATTCAAAGCTGTTGCAGCGAAACACTTAAGAGGGAGAAGCGGTATTTAATTTTCACACCTTTCACACAATGGGGAGTAAGTAATTAATTTATAATATTTAACTTGTTATATCTATATTTTTGATCTTATAAAAGTCAAGTTGATATTCGATTTCGATAAAAAAATGAGAACTACAATTGCAGCTTGCAAAGGTTATTTGGTTAACGTTTTATGATATGTTAGGATGCAAGTAATTTAGTTTCTGGAATAGTAAAAGAGGTTCACAAACTAATATTCAGCAGTGAGTGTTTCGTGTACCACCAGTTCAATTTAATATTTGGGTAGGATAATATAGCTATAAGATAAGATAATATATCTGACTTGGCATAACCGCAAAATGTCGGCCCGTGATCGTAGTTGTTAAAGAAGTTTTGAAACGGTCTGTCATGGTATGGGTGACAAAATATTATTTTCTCGAGCTATTACGTACTTTGGTAAGCATGTTAAGCTACTGGTTCCGGCTGCATTTGCAGTCGTCAATACCCTACAATCCACATTGGGCCAGTATGGAAGGTCATTTCGGATTTGTTTGTATTGTTTATTGTGGGTTGCCCCACACAGTGTTATTAATAAACATGATTAATGGTTGGAATAAATTTACGCTGAGCAATAAGTATTAGTCAAAATTCTTATTATTAAATAGAATTAGCAAAGGTTAACCTAGTCCGAGGTTCTACTGGAGTAATATTTTCTCCTAGAAGGGAGTAGGTTTGCTTATTATCTGTATAATATGAATTTCATGGTTTATAATGATAAGGTTTAAGATACAAATTTTAGCATTAGATTCCTTTAGGCAAAATTTGATTAACTTCTCCATTAAATAAGATAAAACTGGACAGAAAACTTTTTTTCACTTGATGTTGAACTTTCTCCAGTGTATACAATAGGTACCTAAAAATTTTTCGTCAAGTTAGTGTATAACATTGAAATTTTACTTAGAGCCTATTTCTAGATCTTATTTAACACTAGCTTTTGCCCGCGACTTCGCCCACGTGGTAAAGCAGCTTTTCTAACGAATATTTATTCATTATATCATGTAAAATACCTGAAATTAAGTTTCATCCCCTATTTTATCCCCTTAGGGGTGAAATTTATCAAAATCCTTTCTTAGGGGATGCCTAAGTCATAGTAGCTTTATGCATGCAGTCTCAGCCCGATCAATTTTGAAATTGACAGTTTCTTACAAACTTTCATCCCTTATTTTATCCCCTTGGGGGTAAAATTGATCAAAATCCTTTCTTAGGCGATGCCTAAGTCATAATAGCTTTATGCATGCAAAGTCGCAGCCTGATCAGTTTAAAATTGATAAAGTTTCATACAAACTTTCATTCCCTATTTTATCCCTTTGGGGGTAAAATTGATCAAAATCCTTTCTTAGCGGATGCCTACGTCATAACATCTACCTGCATGGCAAATTTTAACCCGATCCATCCAGTGGTTTGGGCTATGCGTTGATAGATCTCTATGTCAGTCAGTATATATATATATTATAGCTCGAGAAAATAATATTTTGTCAACCATCCCATGACAGACCGTTTCAATAGTTCTTTAACAACTACGATCTATGATAGATCACTATGTCAGTCAGTCACCTTTGAGTTATATATATATATATATATATAGAATATATTATTAGACTTCAAAAAACTTAAAGTTACTTACTATTTTAAATAACAGATTAAAACACTTAGCTAGATAACACCGTAAAAGTAAGATGTAATTTTCTTTCCCAAAACTCAGTCAATTTCAATAATTTGCGTTCATCTTATATCAGCAGTCATTAATTACGTTTTATCGTTATTCATTTAAGTGTTATTTGATCTAATTATTATTTTTTATATTCTCTTTATTAGATAGACCTAGAAGTATGCATGCATATATGAGGCTTGGGTTAAAATTAGGCTCGGTAAATACCTGTTAGAAAATTATATCCATCAGGGCATGTCAGTATAACACCTGCTTAAACATTCAAGGTCACTAGTAACCAAAATATTTGTATCGACTTACCTACTTGGTCAATATATTGACCACTAGAGGCAATGTTCAGAAAACTTGTTTTTTGCACAATTGCACTGTATCATGACTGCAACAAGAGACATAATGACGCGCAAATCAGTAAGAGTCCCTTATTGGTAAATCCACCGTGGAAGCTGTTACCGCGCCCCCCACTCCTCGCGATATCCCCGCTTGCCTTGCCGTTACACACCCACAAAGTGATGTTACTGGTTTAAAAATATTTTGTGGCAAACTGACTGGGAGTTCTACAACAAACTGCAGGAAACATACTGGTTTTTCATTCAGTTCGACGTTTGAGCTCATAAATAAAAGTGTCATCAGTAATGAAGGTATCATATTCCTTCATTTCTTAAAGCATGTACAATCAACAGTCTCTTAGGTTATACGAAACTGTCAACTTTTTCCAATCGATTATAAACTTTATTACATTGAGAGTAGGTTCAAAATCAATTACGGATATTGGACATAATGTAGTAACCTTGACATGCAGCCGTGTGTACAAATGTAGCGATTATTAAAATATTATTACTGTATCAATTTCAGGTTTTCGCGACAATATCCATACCTTTACATCCAGAAGCGACTGTTAGCGTTGCGTGGTTTTTCGAAGCGAATTATTATAATGTCGACAATTCAACTTACTTCGAACCCCTGCTAGGTGATATAGCTGTAAGTATTACCTCTCATGTTTTTAATTAAAAATAATTGTTATTTATTTAGAAATCAACAATGCTGTTATAGCTCGGTGGCGTAGTGGATAAGTGGATCGCTGTTATTAAGAAACTTTCGCAAAAGTCCGTCACGGGATGGGCGACCAAAAAAAATTATAATCTCGAGCTACTCCGTGCTTCGGAAGGCACGTTAAGCCGTCGCTCCCGGCTGCATTTGTAGTAGTTAATACCCTACAATCCGCATTGAGCCAGCCTGGAGACCCATCTACCTTAACCGTCCATAAGGAAGGCCTGAGCCCCTGCAGTGGGAACGTAACAGGGCTGATGATTAATGCTGTTATAAAAAACAGTCTCTACGTCGAGTACAGCGCTGTAATAGCATAGAAGTTCAAGTAAATAAAACCTACTTTTTGAAGTGTATAAGATAATGAAAGAAGTTACGAGTATAATGATTTTATTTTATTGAAGATCGAGTTTCTGATGATACTATTTTAAACAAAATAGCATAACTGGATAAAAATATTTAACTGGATAAAAAATAGCATAACTGAACCACTCTCTCAAGACACGACTTAAACTAGACGGATTATGCTATTGAGTTATTTAGTAGTAAAGGTTTGCTGAAGAAATATTTTAATAAATCAACTCCAAAAGAGGTCTTATAGGAATTAGAAAATCGGGTAAGCCATTAAGGAAAAATTGTGGTCAAAAATTTTGTTATTTATATTGATCTAAGCGGCTCAGATAAATGACTCACGAGCTCTATAGAGAAATACACAATACAGTTCAAACTTTCTTGCAAAAGGTTCGAAAGCATACCTACCTAACGATATTGATATCCACAAATATCAAGCGATAATATGAAAATAACTTAGATTCTTCTTTCTTTCTTTCAATATCTTACAAATATTTCAGGATAACCGGAGAAATGATCGGAGTGTCAAAGAAAACACAGAAGAAATGATTACTAGAGCCAATGTGTATAAATTTACAGAAGCCATGCTGGAAAAGTGAGTAAAAAACATAACGCTTTACTGAAAAATATTCTTAATGACAAATGCTTAAAAAATTCACTGGATTTTTTAAAGCATTTTTCGGTATATAAGTATTTTTTCTCAATAAGAGTATTGAAACCACTTTTGAATCACCCAACATTTTATATCTACCATGCATGATGTCTCTAACAAGAAGAACGGGTTAAAAAGAAACAGCTCTTTGCGATGTTTCACGTCACTGTACCTATCTAAAGTAGTATATCGATCTATGAGATAAATAGTTTAGTTAGTTTAAAATGAATAATAAAGAACGGTTCAGAACTCATTCATCGTCAACATTATCATTGCAACCTTCTTTAAACCATTTTCATGTAGACTTCCTTCAATCTTCTCCACTTTATCATATTTCGGGCCGTTTGAATACAATAATGTACCGCCACCTCTTTGGTTTAATTCTTTCCATCTCATCTGTGGACTTTTCGTATTAACCGTTTGCTTGTGTTCTTACGGTCTCCATTCCAGTAGATCTTTTTACTATGAATCGGATTTATTTGCAATAAGAGCTTTAACGCTTTATCGGCCTGGACGAGAGGCCATCTTGTCTATTCCCACCGCTATAGGTGGTAGAGGTTGGCCTATTTCTCAAAACCCTCTGTGTCATCCTGTCGCGTAGTCCAGGCCACGGTAACTATGGGCTAAATGGCCAGCCCATATGCCACTTTGATTTCGCTATTCGCCACACTATGGCAATACTTTGCTTGTTTTTTTTTTTAACTTATTCAAGAGCTGTTCAATCAAATAAAGTTTTGCCGGTTTTAATAATGTCATGTTTCGCATAATAGAGCTCGAAAATCTGAATCTCAATAATTGAAACACGCCACTGACGATCTATGAAATTGAACCTCGCTATGAATGCTTTCGTTGATTTCGTACAAGTTTGATTGCAGTGCCGCCGTGTTTCCGATTCCCGATTAATTGTGCCTGCAATTGAGTTGGTTTAAACTTGGTACTCTATTTAATGGCAGTTAATATTTTAAAAGAAAATAGCTTCGACTAAAACTTTTCACGAAATCTAATCGAATACAATCTGAAACCATTTTGATGATTTGATAATTTATTTAATCGTTCACTATCTATCTATATCTTTACATTCTGAATAATATTTTTATTGAATGAAGGTATTCGATGAAATATTAATCAATGATTTCATATGTTAAAAATTGGCGTGACAAAATTATGAAACATCTTTCCCCGTGTCTTCCGCCCACGTAAATTATAGTCTAAAGAAACTTCGTATAATATAGCTTTCTATAGGTGAAGGAATTTTCATGATCAGATCAGTATTTCCAAAAAATACCCCCTACAAACAAACAAAATTTACGAAATTCGGAAATTTCATTGAATTGCTATAGTTAATAGAGACTGTTAATGTCTCTAGTACTTAAGATATAGGCATTCCTTATAGATAAAATCATACAGAAAGAACAGGCTATAACCCACCAAGCAGTCCTAATGTAAATAAGTGGGTATCAACGATTACTAGCAACTAAAAATCAGTCTGGACTAATATCTTAACATGTCTTCCGAAAAGTGGAGTAGCTCGAGTTAATAATATTTTGTAAAAAAAATGTCTAAACTCGCATACCACACAAACTGATCATTGCGCTACAAAATTTAAAATATATAAAAAGAACATTTAGTAGTTTTAGTGATTACGTCATCATCAACATCGTCTTCATCAGCCCACAGCAGTCCGCTGCTGGACATAGGCCTCCCCAATATGCTCCATTTTTTCTTGTTTTCCTTACTCTAGTTTTCACTTTAAATTAAAATACTTTAACTTCTGTAATTAACGCAACAGTAATTATTTCCTTTATATATTATAATATAATCTCAATTTGACAGACACGGTTTATCTGGAAAGGAGTGCCTATTGAGAGCTATTTGTGAAAACTCGCACATTTCATCTTTACACGACGGTATCTTCGGGGATTTACTTCATTTTGTATTGACGTAAGTTTTCCAATATGCAGTTTCTTTATAAGTACAGAAGATTAAAATACGGCCTTGTATAAATGCTTCCTTGAGAATTTAAAGTTTATTTAAGCAATGTAACATTTAATGTACATTGTAATTAATTATTAGTTGATGCGTGAACTAATCTAAATTAAATATATATCATCTATTCAGCATACTTGAAATATTTGTCAAACTTAAAAACTATGCTACTGGTTTGTAAACTAGAGAAACCGGCAAAGTACAGTAATAGTAATTATATGATTTGATTTTATTTACTGTAGAGAAGTCTAATTGAAGAATTCATAAGAATATGCAATAACTTATCCGTAACGATCGTGTAAGTTCTTTCCATGGTGGGATGGCAATATACCTTCGTTCACATATTCCGTTTTCTATTCTGCCGCCCCAAAACAGCGCTGAGCATCTCTTTCTCGAGATATCACTGTCCCATACCAAAATTCTATTAGGTGTTTTCTATAGCACTTCTCTTCGAGTTGACTACTTTGAGTCATTCGAACAACTTCTGGTAAATTTTACACTTTCTTTTTCTCAAATCATAATTATGGGTGACTTCAACACATGTCTCGTTAAAGACGATATCAGATCCCAGAAACTACTTTCATTAGTTAATTCCTCAAATCTACATATTCTTCCGCTCAAGGAAACTCATCATTTTCCCAACTGCACTCCTTCTCTTCTTGATTTAATAATTGTTTCCTCACCCACCTTCGCTATAAAACATGGCCAATATTCTGCAGATGCATTCTGTTATCATGACTCGGTGTATCTGTCATATCGGATTCGTCCCCCAAAATTGAAACCTACAGTGCAACTTCAGCGTAGTTTTGGAAATTATTAAAATCACTGGGTGTTGGCAAATCTCGCGATCCCGGTCTTAATCATAACATTGATATCAATAAACTAAATAGCTTTTTCTCTCTAATCTGCCTACACCTGATTTCTCTTTTTTCATTCACCAATTGGCTGACTGTGATGTTAAGAGAACTATTCTGTCTGTCAGTTCCAGTGCAGTAGGTAGTGATTCCATAAGTCGCAAGATGATCCTACCTATCATAGATATCCTGACTCCTATTCTTACCTTTATCCTAAATACATCGATCTCCACTGGTGTTTTCCCTGCGTCCTGGAAAGATGCTTATATTATCCCCATTCCAATAAAACCAAATCCAAGCACGTTTTCCGAAAATCGTTTCGATTGATTCCTTTCCTTTCTAAAGTCTTTGAAAAACTTGTATCCCATCAGCTAACTGCTTTCCTCAACCAAAACCAACTCCTTAATCCCTTTCAATCTGGCTTCAGTACGGGGCACAGCACGTCTACTGCACTGGTAAAGATAACAGATTACATCCGATTTGGTATGGAAAATCGGCAGCTAATGCTGTTAACATTACTTGACTTTAGTAACGCATTCAACTCGGTCGACTTTGATATCCTCCTAGGTATAATGCATTCTCTTAACATATCTCCAGCAGCAATGGTATGGTTGCAAAGTTACCTGCTAGGGCGTCGACAACGCATCCGTGGTGAAGACAACTTCTCCTCGCGGTGCACTATAAATGCCGGAGTTCCTCAGGGTGGTGTCTTATCTCCTATTCTCTTCTCTATGTTTATAAACTCTATCTCACAATCACTTTCTAGTTCCTATCACCTTTATGCTGATGATCTTCAAATTTATACCCAGGCATCGTTTACGAATCTTCACGATGCAGTGGCAGTGACCGATTCCGACCTCTCTAAAAATCCTAATTGGAGTAAATCATTTGGTCTTACTGTCAACCCTTCGAAGACGCAAACAATAATAATTGGCAGTCCTCATTTCTTTTCGAGGATCGATTTTGAACATTTACCTTTTGTTACATTTGACGGCACTATTATACCATATTGAAAATCAGTTAAAAACCTCGGTGTGATTTTTGACCAGTGCCTTTCTTGGAAGCCTCACTTAGAATCGCTAAGGAAACGAATGTTTGCCGCGTATAGCTCAATCAACCGTCTGCGCAACTTTTTGCCCACACACACGAAAA